CCTTAACATGATGACCACATATTTCAGTGCTTAACGAGTAATCGCGCTGCCGCCATCGCATTGGTTTGGGCCCTTGTTCGTGGATTGCTACGGTGTGTCTTTCTCCCCTTCTGCGTTTCTTTGCGAGCTAGTGAACACGTTTTCTTTTGTCATTTGCACTGTTTTTCGCATTTTTGCATTGTCGGGGAGTGTCGACAGTGCGGAAACTTTTCCGCTAGCCCATACACAATTAGCTTCAACGTTCAGGTACGGAGTATGAGTGCGTGCCTTTCGTTTGGAGTTTTGGGGAAAATGTAGCACGCTATACTGTGCATAGGTGCTCTGCACTACGCTGGTTATATTTAAATTAAAATTAGTGAAAGAGTTGACTGTGTGCAGATTAGTGTTCGCCTCGCACAAGAAGAGGCAAGTCTGGGCGTATGTGGGCGCGATTTTACGTGCAGCTAGCTGTGAGTACTGTAAGTGCTTAGAGGATGCAGCAGCGCACATGCTAGATTTCATTATCCTCACTTGACGGAGCACTGGGCGCGGGCAGCAAAAGAAAGGGCCTATATGAACGGACACTCGACAGCATTGTCTTAAATTTGCATCGAGTCTTGAGCTAATTATCTGTATACAGATACCTTAGATGGTGCATCGCTTCGTCAGACAAGGAGGCGCCAAAAATGCAGCTACAAATAAAAAGTTTGCCTTGCGCGTCTACCCGTATAGATAAGCGCACACTACAATCATGAACAAAAGAATCTTTCACATCTTTATACACAGGAAAGCATACACAGGCTAGGGCTCCCCTGCCTCATGGTGCCTCGTTTCTGTTGTGAAAGGTTAGTGGAGGCGTGAGCACATTTCTACCAGATTTACGGGATACATCGCAGAGCTCTGCATGTCGCTAATTTTGGTATGTCCTTTGTACCCCATTGTTCACTTTCTTCCTAATTTCTGGGGATCCCTGTAAAGAGGAAGGTAGCAACAGTAGTCGCCTTGTGGAGCTTAGAAGGAAAAGGACAAAAAGCACCAAGCAACAGAGGAAGCAATAGGCACAAGAAGCAGAAATACCAACACAGTGCCGAGAAAGAAAATTGACTGAGGAACTACCAGCGCCGTTGTCGCACGTGTAGTGCTTCAACGGAAAAGCCATACAACACCACAACAACGCCTCCTCCATGCGCACCTGCTCTCACGAAAGCAATAAAGAGGCCTATCGGCATCTTCAAGGGACACACTTGCCTGCGAGTCATTACAGTTTCCGTTTCCCTTCTTATAAGGAAGGATACTACAAAAAGTCCCGCCCGCCTCTACGGGGTGTCGTACTAGTAGCCTACTGGTGAAACCTATGCCCGCACAATCAGTAGTACCACTGACGAGTCAACTTCGCCGTATAGGTGCATACACATAAAAACAGCGTGCGGAGGCTGAGTTTCACGTAGATGTGCGTGCAAAAGCCCACCTACAGCAGCAGTAATAATAGTCAGATGATATGCTTCACTAGTAAGGCCATCCCAAGTAAGGCCTGCAGCTGAGGGGTGGAGAGGCTCCTATGATAGTATTCTACTAGACACACACAGCCACAAGTATCCATACAGATCCTGTGTATATACTGATTGGGATCCAGCTTTTCATTAAAAGGGGGAGACAGCCGGTTCCCTGGCCTACGACAGGGCGCAGTAGGCTCCAAAGCTAAAATCAAAATACTGCATTGAATGTTCGTTTCCTGGTGCCCCTATGCATGACCTCTGTGCTTCAAACGCATTTTCTGCAATCTTTAGAGAGGCGCGAGTCTAAGGAGGGCGATATTTTGACTGCAGCGAATGCTGTAACCAACGAAGCGGTATATGAGAGTGCCAAGCATGCACAGCACCTACGATACGTAGAGATCATAAAATCGGGAGGGAAGATACACTTTGCCTGCGCAGCAAAATCCAAGTGCCCACTATCTAAGCAGATGAAACCCTGTATATTCACGCAGCTGTGACAAGCATGAACGCTTCCCTCCTGTCCGATCCACAAATGGCAGGTGTAATACTAGCTCAAGGGGCAAGCACACCAGATCCCTCAGAGATACAAGTGACCGCGTGATGCTGCGAAAACACTTTTTCCTCGCAACCGATTAGGTGAATCAAAAGGGATCTAAGAGCCGGAATCCCCACAGAGTATTGAAGCCATATGTTCCAGATAGAATCTACTGAAAAGCAGCAGTCCAGTTACCTGCAGACAAACGGATGCACCCACTAAGGTAGACTGGAGCGCGAAGAGGAAGAAAGACGACCCAACAGCGTGCAAGCATAGGCAAATCGACACACAGAGACAGGCAAGGAGTTAAAGGCAGCGAAAAAGTAGCTGCAGAGAGTCTTCTGAAAAGGGTGTAAATGGAGAGCCAAGGAGGCCGATCCCATTTGCTGGTGCGTCCACGGTAAAAAGGGGATAATGCCGCACACGCTGTAAACTTACACAGGCCTGCAGGCAGATGCGCAGCAGAGTACTGACATCACATGATGCTCCAACGAGCTATGCGGCGAGATCGGAAAAAACAGATGCACAGTACGTAGACAGGATAAGGAAGAACTCACAATGCCTAGGACAGCAGAAAAACGCTTTGAGCCCACAGGAGCCTGCAAAAGACAGCAGGCATCGAACGAAGCAAAAAAGTACGATAATGCAGCCAGAAATCCCAAGTACGGATGGGATCTAACAGTGTGCGTGCACAGTAACTGCGAGACGGATAGCCTATAGACACATGCATGTGTCCTCGCCAGCTTATCATCTATGCACGCAAGCTCATACTGTTAGCGAGACTTGAATGCGCCACTTCCACAAAAATTCTCGTGCTCACAAAAGTGATGGCAATACATGTTGCATGAAGATAATCTTAAATAAGATTATAGCGTATTTGGGAACAACTTGCGATCGTCGGTAGGTTGAGATGGTTGTGGATGTACTTGGTACACAATATGCATATAGAAGCTTCTCTGAAGAGCTGGCTACGGTATTCATAATAGCTTTCTGCCTTTATGGAAACCATGATCGAGAGAACTCGCGCGAGACGTGTGCTAGAGCCTGCCAACTCCAAACGGACTGTAGACGCATCCCAGATGTACAAACACCGGGAAAGCATCTGCAAACCGCTTGAGCTTGGCAGCAATCTCAAGACTTTTTAATCATTCCTCCAGCATACCCCTGGGGATGACACACTATCCAACACCGCTCCTCCATCGCTGTCGAAAGTACCGCCGTCTGGACCTTCATTTTTACCGACAGGCCTGCCAACAGAGTCTTTCGAATCACTCGTAGGTCCTGAATCCTCTCTGCTTGATGCCATCTGAGACCCCGAGGCGCTTGTACTTATGACACTGGAGCTTTGGGTATGGGAGGCTGTTTCCTGCTGAGTGCCAGGAGCTGGGTCTCGTGACACCCATGGAGAGGTCAGAATTAGGTTCTGAGCTGCTGCAGGCTGTGAGGTACGGATAACTTCCTGGACACACGCAGGGCTGAACACAAGTTTTCGCTTTACCGTTAGTAGTAGCGAGTACAGTGATAGCAGCAGCGAACGCGGCAGAACATGTGTATTTATGCAGGCCCCCGCAGTTCGCTGTTCATGAGTCTCTACCATTGCACATGTTCTCATATTCTCCTTACTGATCTATTTAATTTAAAATTCCACGCCATGAGCGCGAGCGACAAAAATACGGCGAGGACCAACGCTTTGTTTCTGAGAATCCAGTCACTCAAATTTCTTGTGCCCAGCCGTTCATAGATAAACACATGGCTGTCCGTTTGGACCTGCGCAGGATCAGGTGGTTCTGCAGATATTTCTGCGGGCATTTCTTCAGGTAGCTCTGCAGACATTTGTGCAGGTGCGGCTGCAGGAATTTCTGCAAACATTTTTTGTTGCCCAGACACTAGGCTCCGTGAGTCCCTCTGCTCCTGGGCGACTGAAAAGCGGGATTCATAGGCATCCTCGAGAGCACCGGAGGAAGGTTTGCCGCCACAAACAACCAAAGCACAGAACACGAAGTACACTGCATATATAATCAACATTCCCCCGGGTAAGTGGGTAGTGAAGGGCATCGCGAGACCAAGTGAAGGGACAAGCGAGGTCGACGGGATAGGATGTGAGAAGAGTAGGCGACACAGAAAACAGAAATCACATGCGTGGATATTCTCAGGAGCCTCTAGCCAAACAAACCCGCCACTTTCATGCCTCAGCGTGTTGAGCAATGCCCATTGGCAAGGCACGGCGTGAAGCAAAAAAAGGAAAAAGCCGGCAAAAAGTTGGTGCCACTAGTGGGCAGAGGTCTCGCCTGGAAGGCCGTACTGCTCGGCAGGCTCCACCAAAGAAAGCAAACCCTGTGAAAAGGTTGCACACATTTCAAGACTCGAGAGAAACAAGAAAAATAAATAACTGTGGGAGGGACGCTGTGCGTCACTGTGCGGTGCTCTGTAGGAAGAGCGCGAACTCCCGAACTCTATCTAAGTAACTAGCCAGAAAGAAAAAGAGCACAATTAGAGCTGCAGGGCATGCATGGCCTAAACTCCGTATATACAGTAGTTGCCAGAGACAACTGCGATATTTCACCATCGGGGTTCATATCTTGCTCTGCAGGGGTTACGTGCATGGCGCTGCCGCCTTCCTCAGACCGCGATGTACTTTTATATTTAACTTCCCCGTTTCCATGCGCATATTTCTAATATAAAAAGCCATTAAAGTTTATGGATATTAAACTAGAGGAACCACACATAGTTGGGGCTTTACCGTCTAGGTTTGTTGTCTACGGTCCATCTGCAACCATCACATTTCGTGTGGACCATCAGCAGAAGATACTAGACAGCAAGCGTAAGGCATCAATGCTCTATTAAAGACTGTAAATACGTGTCTTCGCAATATCTCGGCCTTTCCTCTGCTTACTGTAGGCAGTGTACAAAGCCCTTACCGACACTTTCCATTCCCACGCCTCCCCTGTTTGATCTCCGACCAAGGCAAAGGGGAGAGCACAGCCTGCAGAATGATAAAGGCGGTCCTCGTGGTGAATACTCAAGGCCGACCCCGTATCGTCCGATTCTATGACGGCACGGTGAGTTTTACTGAACAAAACGAAGCGCCTGAAACACCACAGCTAGGGCCACATATACGTTCATTCTTGCCATCTGCCTCTCTTAACCCCCCTTATCATTTCCTGGCGTGCCTGCTGGGCTGTCTTTAAAGCTTGTTTCTTCCCTCGCGGTTTAAGGTACTTACAGTTTTCTGGGTGGCCTTCATCCTCCCACTCTCGCCTTCTGGCTTTCCATCCTATAGCGCCCCGTCATACCTCACCCCTATTTGCCTGTCGGCTTGAGCTCTCTGCCTGTTGTGGTCTCCTGTGGCTGTCGGTGGCGTTTCACTTTACTCTGCAGCCTCAGGAGAAGCAGCAGCATGTGCTGCGGCGGCTTTTTGCTGCTGTCAGTCGCCGTCCCGAGGACTCTAGCTGCTTCTTCACTGAAGACAAGGAGCTCTTTGGTCCAAACCACCGCATCGTGTATAGGTACTTAGCTGTATGTACAGCGAACACACTGATGGCACCGGGTTTCACGCATTCGTGCATGAGACTGCCGCTTCGGTGCTCCCTCGTGACTGTGGGACCACTAGCAGCAGTCAGAGAAACAGGATCAGCAATCGGAAACGGGGTATGCTTGTTTGTTCCTATTTGATGCAGACACTTTGCAACACTCTTCTTCATCTTTGTGACTGATGAGCTGGAAAGTGATCTAGCCATACTGGATCTAATTCAAGTACGCTCTCTTTGGGCGCCCTTTTAGGCTGCTGTTTGAATAGCCACCCTTGGGGCCCTAGGAGCTTTTAAGGAGGCCGTGAAAGGGGCACCAATTGCCCCCTAGAGCGCACCATGTGTCTGGTCAGGACGACGCAGTTCCGTGGGTCGCTCTCTAGATATTGATTGTGCCTAGAATGTGCCGATACCGGCTTTATGAATGCACACATAAGTGTATGCGCGTGTGGCATGACTTTACTATCCATGTATGCACTTTTTCATTGAATTTCCTATTTCTTGTGCGCATTACCTTTGAAGCCCTGGCGTAACGATTTACATGCGTATGGTATGTGGTCAACGGGAGTGTGAATCCACTAGCATGAATACATTTACATGCACATTTGCATATTTAAAGATAGCAAGGGCAAACCTTCGTGCATGCATTTGTACATCTTTGGGTTTATGCGTTCGCGTCTATGTGCATATTCTGTATCGATCTTCATCTACCTATATATATGTATATATATATATATATATATATATATATATATATATATATGCACTCAGTATTCCCCCCTTTCCTTACCCGTTTCTCTGCGTGTGTGCAAACGGAAGAAACGATATTTTGTCCTTCTTCTCAGGTATTCGTCCAGGTTCTCGATGCTTGCTTTGAGAATGTTTGCGAGCTGGACCTAGTCTTCCACCACGAAAAGGTGAGAAGTTCATCAGCGAGATACTGGCGAACGCTCACTTTCAGGGGGCGACTGCGTCTCTATGAAGGCTTGTTGGTTTCTCTAGGGCCGTATGGATCTCCCTGGGGAACCCTGACGGGACGCTCTCTGGAAGAACCGTGGAGCCCCCCAAGGAAACCTTGGAGTCCCCTTATGGTGTCTTACTGCATGAAAGAGCGATATATCCATCTAAGAAACGCCCACTGTTTCTCTGTGCTCAGATAAATTACATTCTCGACGAGATCATTGTTGGTGGTACGCAAAACAAACAGGGTATCCTCTTTATATGTCCTTGGGTCATTCGTTGGATTCTCGGGGCCCTTCACAAGGAATCATTCACCCTACTTGATTTTCTATCTTAGTTTTGATCTCAGCCAGATGCCAGGTGTCTTTCTGTAAGCTATATTATTCAGTTTGCTTCTATATATGCTTTCCTATGTCACTCCTCTTAGCATACGTGCGTATCCACACATTTCACCCTCCATAAATTTCAGTTGATGTTACGTTGAGGACGGGGGATGGTTCGGCGTTTTTGCCAGTGCATTTACCGGCATACACAAGTGCACTGCTCCCTGCTACACGATCTCGCTGACCGCACAGTTCCCTCTCCCACTCTTCCTCTGGTGCCAAGAGGAGATTCAGCTTCCCCCCCCCAATGCTTGCCTTTGCTTCTGTTGCCCTCATCCAATTTTTTGCCATCTATATGTCTTTTTGTCGAAGGTTTTGTGATGGACACGGCAGTTGACGGCATCCTCCAGTCGGTCAGCGGAGTAAAGAAGCTCGTGGATGCCGAGACCTCATTCTTCGCATGACCCTTTTGTTTTATGCATGCACATAAATCAATCCAGACACCTTAGAGTGATTGATTTTGGCCTGCAGCTCACCAGATCCTCTCTTACCTCCCGAATGAAGATGCCTACCTCCATCTTGTGCCTCGTATCACGTTGCCTCTGGCTCTAGCTGCCTTTCCTTGGTTGTAGCTGTTCAGGCCCCAGCAATTGTTTTCTGAGGTATCCTCTTGGGCATACAGTCAGCTCCATTGGTATGCCTAATGTACAGTTGTGTTTCTACATGTGTCTTTCCGTCTATTCCACGTTGCCGTACCTTCTAGAGGTCTGTCATCTCCGCAGCGCAGTGGCTCCGTGCTGCTGTCTTCTCTCTTGCCTCACCAAATCACGACAGAGAGGCTAAAGGCAGCCATACCTTCACTTCTTTTTGGTTGTTTCTCGGGTAGGTCCATTCACCAACAGCCATTTGGGGATGGCCCTCCCATAAGAGAGCAGCCGGATAACCTTGCCACCTGGCATTTTCTTGCTTTGTTGTTGAAGGTACCTTATTTTATATGAAGGGCTTTACTGTTAACCTCTCTGTGAAACTTTGCAGTGTGGTTGAACCCGTTTACGAAGCATCGACTAATCCTATATAAAACACAGGTTGAGTGGCTCGGGCTCGCTGCCGTGCGAGGTGTAAGCAGGACTTCGATGTCAAACCGCTTGTTTCATACACACCGAGAGTGAACAACCTTGATTGCCAGCGTTTCTACTGGTCTAACGCAGTAGCTGATTTCCTGGAGACATGGGTGCGGGCTCTCCACTTTCTTCAGCATTCATCCTTGTGGTTGCACTATGTGGGTTTCTTTTGGGTGCTGTCCCACACAGTATGGCTACTAGCACTGAATGAAACGAGGAAGCAGAGCTTTCCTCTCACATTTACGTATTGCTGGAGTCTTGTGAATCATAAGGGCTTTAATGTATAGCTTTTCTGGTGTAGCCGAATTATTGCTGCCATGGCGGGCAAAGCTATACTTCGACACTCTCTACTTACACGGATTATATTTTCAACTAATAATTCATTAACTGACGTTTGGGTCTGGCTCTTCATATATTTTATTTATTGCAGAGTACCATAAGCTTGGTGCGGTAGGAATTAAAGCTGTGTGACAAAAGATAGATCCAACTACCTGTGGCTGCCGAAAGCAATTGCTGAGTGCAGCTATGGGCACCCTAACTGTCCCTTTCCCCTAATGTCGGAGCCCTGGGGCGCGAGGGCAGAAGAATAAAAGAGGCTTTTTGAGAATCACACAATGGAGCTTTGCAGTTGGTGGCACTGCAGGGGCCGATGGGGCTCGTTTGCCTCCCATCCCCTGGCTGTGGATGCAGTGCGAGGTCAAGTTTCACACTAATAGCCATATTTTGATTTTTATGCCGTTTCGACAATATCTCTTGTCTGAAAGCAGTCAACAAAAAACGCGATCACCGCTCGTGGCATGTCCACTCGCTGGACAAACACTGCAATTTGGCTCAATTTATACGGAAGATGTCGTCCGCCTGCAGGGCGTACTACATTTAAAACCTATGCAAGCCATCGCATAAGAGATTATACCAAGATCATCTTTACAGCAAGCTTCAGGAGAACTAAGAAAGGGGAGCACGGAAATCTGTCATTAGATCGGTTTATCGAGAAACATGAATTTATGGTTGCTGAGGCCACAACGTAGACGAAAGCCGCCTTCTCAGTGGTACATCATGGGATTATCTGGAGTGCCACGTCAGGCGGTTGCAAAATGAGCAGCGACTCAGCGATCGACAACCCTCCGGTAAATGTGGATGGCTTTGAGGGGGCAAATGAGCGCAACTGCTGCGCCTGCGACTCGGAAGGACTCAAATAAGCAATTAGATTCCATGAATATTGAGGTTGTGTCAAACGGCCCTAGATTACAGTGGTGGGCGAACAAGATAGTCAGAAGCAACCCACGCTTGTAGGCAGCCTCACACAGCTCCTACATTATGCACCGGTTCCTACTGTGGGAGATTGGGTTATCTATTGTAGAACAGCGAAAGCATACAAAGGGCCAGAGAGCTTGAGAAAAAGATTTAACCAAGTGAAGAGAGCTGTTTGGCGAGGAAAGAAACCGCACTAAGAACAAGGAAAGCCCCCATGAAACTGCGGCGAAGTGAAGCGGGTACCGGGAATAGGGCCGCAATTGGCAACCCACCACAAAGCGATTCTGCGCCAATGCAGGCTCACGCTCATGAGAATAACTGCTATAGTTGCTTGAAATTGAGTGTGAAGTACATCTGTTTTTCTTGCAGGCGGCACGGAAGTGTAATCTGCTGGCTCGTTCTATAGCACAATTCCTTAGACTCAAGTTTGCTGATGGGGAGCAGAACGCAAGAAATGGCACCGCCACGGCACGTAAACGTTCAGATTGGATCGCATTTTGGAAGCATGATCCATGGTTTTTATGTTGGACCCGTGCACCATTACTTAGCCGTAGGTATGCCGTGGCTAGCCCAATGGACGTCCGCGTAGGCAGCAACAGCTGCGCGATGAAGAGTTCAATGTGCCTGGAGACGTTGAGGAAAGCTCCTCAACAACAAGCGTTGCTCCCATGCAGTAGATTATCTCAACAAGGAGAGGTGGAAGCTCCGTGACGATGGTTCAGTAGCGCAGTAAAAATCAGATGGTTTTGGCCATGCATCCCATCTTACGAGCTCTGCAACTGATACTCTTAAAGCCTTCAATTGAACCTTGAGCCAATAGGCAACAGAATGGGATCAATATCAAAAAAGGAACTAGTGGCTGGCTAGATAATAATGAACTGCCTGCAAGCTGCCCGCCTGCTGGTCGTCCAATGCATCATATGGAGCTAATCCCCAAGTTAGTTCCAAGCTATGTTCCGCGATGTCAGAAGCTCCCCAAAACATGAAGAGAAGACTGAGCAGCAGGCTAGTGGCTATTTGAGAACTTGACAGGTGCACAAGCTGGTCAGCACTTCGGGGCATAACCCGGTGTTTCCACTGAGAATGACGGAAGGTGGCCCATGTGCATGATAAATTAGCCACTGAACACGAGGAATGTAAAGTACAAGTCCCCAAGGCCTCATATTTTCAAACTAACATACTACACAGATCAACAATCTAGTCGGCATTTGGCTCCACAGATGCCTTTATACAAACCTTTGTTCACCGCTCCGACTCGCACGAAACAGCCTTACACACAGCTCACAAGTTCGCATGTACCCGTGTGACGTTTCGACTAATTAATGCCCCAGACAGTCTACTACAGCATGCTATGTAGAATTTAAAAAGTGTGGTTAAGAGGGATGGACAGCCATGTACATGGAGGGCTGGAGTCTTCAGCCGAAACGCTCAAGAGCATCTACAGCACCAAAGCCTGTGCTTTAGCTGTGGCGAGGCCAGCAGTGATATGCGAAGCACACAAGTATTTGCTTTTAGTGCGAACAGCTGTGAATTGAGGATTTCGTGCTTTGGCTGCACGGATGGAGAGATTTGGCATAAAACGAAGTTAAGGCGTGACCTTTACCTTCATGCACACGCAAGGGTGTTAAGAAGTTCTACGTGAGCCTGCATCAGATCAACCAAATTAAGTTTTCGGACCTTACTCCGATCGCTGCTCTCTCAAATGCTCCACTTAAGAAAACACAGTCTGTGATTCGGACAGAGGAGGCTGGTAACACAGCAAGGATGCCTATCGACGTTCTTCGAGCTTCTCTGTCGTTTGCTCAGCTTGACTGTGCGCTTTAGCTTTTCCTGGCAACCGATGATCTGGACGAAGCGGTGGGAGCAGTTCTTTCCCAACAAGCAACGGGATCTTCGATACACCGGCAAATTGTTTTTACTCCTTATCGCTTCACAGAAACCGGGTAGCAGTACCAATTGCGGTAAGAAAAAGTCTATGCGGTGTGATGGGGCGTGACAAATACTGGGACTATTGAATTGGGCATCATTTTACTGTCCAGGCCGGCCACCAGTCTCTAATGCACTTTATAGAGACTGCTCATAGGTCTTCTGATTCAAGAGCTGTTCACTGAGTTCGCTGCCTCGTGCAGTAGGACTTCACAGTGAAATATATCGAGGGTGTCACCCACGTGATCGCCGGCGCACGCTTGCGACTTCCTGGCAATTCACTATTGCGCACCACAGCCGCTTTTGTCTGTGTGGGAATTTGGCTTTTATAAGAACTCTGTAGCTGTTATGCGTTGACACCCACGAAACGCTATGACCGTCACAATCAAGCATGGCAAGAGGGTGAAGCACTACCGCGTTGAGGGCGGCGTGTTGTGGTACCAGTCAAAGCGAGGACTCCTCCACGGTTCTTCCCGACTTATCACTGCAGTAGTTTTTCATGCAAAGCAGATGGCCATGGGTTTCCGGGTCATCACACGACAGTGGAAAAACACTCACGGTGCTTCCGGTAGTCTGGGACGCGTCCCGGTAGACATGCATGAACGGTCATACCCAGAGTTCTAGCAGTTGCAGAGGCACGTTTCTCCTGACTCCAGTCGTTAGCAAAGCCTTCGGGTTCCTGGATAGACTTGGACAGATCTGACAACGGACTTTATTGTTGGACTGTCGGCGGTCAAGGGATAGCTCAGCATCTACGTCGTTACTGACAGACCCAGCAAATATGCTCACTCCATTCCTTGCTTCAGCTCTAGCGCGACCCCAAAATTCACTCAACTACTTTCGTATTACAAATGCAAGCTACTCCTATTTGCCTAAAGTATCACTACAAATAGGGACCCGAAGTTCGTTAGTGCGTATTGGCGTGCCTTGAGAACCCGCCTGCACATTGACCACAAGACCACTGCGAACCATACTAAGACAAGGAGGCAGATAGCGCGCACCAACTACACTGTTCTACAGTATTGTGACGTCATGCTCACAAAAGTGCAATTGACTGGCTAGGCGTTCCCCCTCGTGCTGAACCGGCCTCTAATACAACAGTACAATCGGCTACCCATTGCTCTACCGCATCAGCTGTCTATTTTGATAAGCCGCGCTCCCGTCGGGGCCTGGACTTGGTGGTCCGATTCGGCAACCACTTTTAACAGCCAAGGAATTAAGACGACCACTAGCCAGTGCACGCGACCGTAAGCGCACCGCACAAAATAGACAGCATGCAACTGTGATGAGCGGCAGTCGGCTATGTGTTTCGAACCTGGGGATTGGGTTTTGGTGGTTCAGTCGGCTGTACATAGCACACCAGAAGGTGAGCAGATAACGCGCTTTGTGGCAAGGTGACTAGGACCAATTGCCATCCTCTCACAACTCAGCACTCTTTCTCACTCTGTCAGTTTTCCTTGCAAGTCTTAGTCTCCACTAAACTATCAATAGTGGCTTTTGAAAAAGTTTCAAAACTTCCCTAATTAATCAAGAAATTTGCTGCGTAAGCAAATGACGTGTGTGAAGGCGGAGGATTCGCGTGGGGCTGTAGAAGTATTGGATTTTAGGACTCTTGAGCACTAAGGACATACGACAGGATTTCTAGTGAAATGGTGAGGGTAGTGCCAATTTCAGTGGTTCAGGTCAGAGCAGTTGCGAGCTGTGTTCTCTACCGGAGAACCAGCAGGCCCTTTCCGCTCTCAACGTAAGTTGCCATTAACAGTCTTCCTCGCACTCCTAAGTAATTATCTTCCACCACTGCATGCTCTGCCGGAAACAACTATAGCTATGGGAATCGCTTGATCTCCTGGCTATTGTTAAGATGTTCTTTACGGATAGGCTTGTGCTTAGAAACTCTTATCTATGGTGTCTCTCCCAGCTCCCTTGAGCCCCTCTCGAGGCTTTGAAAACGATTACTTTGCATTTACGGCCTGCAGTTGCACGAAGTGCTCTGTGAGGCGCGAAGGCACTGCTGAACTAGCGTGTACAACGACTCCGTTTGTATATTATACGTGTTACCTTTATTTCCTTAGCATAATGACCACATATTTCAGTGCTTAACGAGTAATCGCGCTGCCGCCATCGCATTGGTTTGGGCCCTTGTTCGTGGATTGCTACGGTGTGTCTTTCTTGCCTTCTGTGTTTCTTTGCGGGCTAGTGAACACGTTTTCTTTTGTCATTTGCACTGTTTTTCGCATTTTTGCATTGTCGGGGAGTGTCGATAGTGCGGAAACTTTTCCGCTAGCCCGTACACAATTAGCTTCAACGTTTAGGTATGGTGCATGAGGGCGCGCCCTGCTAGATGGGCACTTTTGTATGAGGGAGGGGAAGATGATGCGATCTAGGGTGCACCTTTGTACCATCTACTTCATTAGCTATATTCAGTGAAGAATTAATATGGATTTGACTACTTGGTTTGTCTTTTCGAACATCTGATTTACTGCACAGCACTATCTCTAAGAGGTTGGAATGCTGAGAGGCAGCTACACACACTCTAGCTGCCTCCCGTCTTATCTCTGCACTGTGGGGGGGTAAAGGAAGATGGGTGCTGTTTTAGAAAATGCTCATGAACTTCCTATTGAGATTGCATCTAGTCTGGAGTCAAGTGTCTCCATAGTCAGACCTCAAATGGAGCATTACACCCGCGCGAGCTGCACAGTCCATTCCGCTGCAGGGGTCCATTCGATTGCTAACATGTGTACTCCAGCACCTTGAATCCCACCAATATTGCATTTCAGATTTTCGCCTCTATTTCGTTAAAGCAATTTATTTTCTGGATTACACCGGTCGTCAGACATTTTTACCAGTGCACCTACCTGGAAACTTGACGCTCAGCATCACACTGTCAGGAGAATATGCACCGAATCGCTGGGTCAGTACTGTTATCACTCTGCAAAAGGCTCCACGATCAAGGAGTTGGCCATCCATCTGCTTAGATTGTTGCAAAAGGCTTGTGAAAAGCGCATGCATAGAGGCAGCCCCAGGGACAAGCTGAATGGTTGGGACTTCATCTTCAATTGATGATGGTATACCCCTGTTCGTGTTCATCTCTCCAAGATGGTTAGTGTGTGATCTCTCTTTCGCTTTTTTGCTTTTTCGCCTCTGAATCGCCGCGTTAAGATCTTGAGTACTCTGGAATCTTTTTGCGTCTTTCCGCGATCGCCACGATGAGTTACGGGTCTGGCACAGCGGTGATGCCAATTTTTCGGAGGACGATGATCGGCGCCTGTAGTCTGATTGCTGTTTATGTTACTATCGACCTCGCTGGCAAGCCTCTTTACGCGTACACGACAACGAAATTAGCTAACGTGAGGTTGAAGCGAGTGGACACCGACTCACATTTGCAACTAGCTCATATGTGCACAATATTCTTCTCAGTCTCTCTGTATCCACACATTTACTCAGGTTTTCCCCACGTTCTCATATGTTCCATGTTGCATCTTCCCCCCCTCATGTAACCGCCCTGTGCTTGCCACGCCCCTTCTCCCTCCCGGTATAGTTCTCATCTCTTCTTATCCTTTAGTGGGTCTCATTGCTAGAGTAGGCCTTTTGGATCCCCCAATGGTGGCGTGTGTGGGCAACTGTGAGATGCCGTATTGTGCCACATCGCGGTTTGTTTTCAGAATCCTGCAGTGCTGACCTGGGGTAGAGGGTGGCAAGGCAGGTGCCAGCATGGAAGTGTATGTGTGCCTGTGATGCGTAATACAGATGAGCAAGGAAGGAGCGGCCCCAGCATCGGGTGGGGCACCTGCTCACGGGGGCCATTGAACCCCCAAGCTGGTTGGTTGACAGCATCAAGGAACTACCCACGTGCGTCTCCCATCAATGATTTCAGGCCCGCCAAGTCTCTTCAGTTTTTCTTGTTATTATTGCGCTGCCTACATCTCCGCCAGAGATATGGGGACTCGGGGGATCAGTGCTGATTATGCGCGGACTTCTTTGCCCCTGGAAAGGCACCTTGTTATTGGAGGGGACCTAGGTAGAGGTTTCTTTACTCGCATGGCAGCCACACTACACACTTGTCCTACTGCGTATCCAGTATTCAGGGGGACACCAACACACCTCGGAGCTTAGGAAACCCCGCTCCCAAATCATAAGGACCGCGAAATCCCCAAAGGCAAGGAAGGGAAGGGGGATTTTGCTCCTGTGGCTGCTCCAGAGACTCTCGTTGGATTGTTGGAAGCTTGTATGTTGGGGTTTAAAGCTTTCAGCGGAGCTGAAGCACAATGATGTCTCATCTTTAATTCAACGAAACCACGTGGACTACTGTCGCACGCCCGTTACCTCGAAATTCACCTATAGAGCTCTTTCGGGCTGCGCTTTCTTACCTCGAAGTCGTAGGGTTCAGGCACTCAGCTAAGGTGTGTGAGGGCAATAGGGGCTCCTGCAGTGAAGATACTGAAGCTTTAGCTCGAGTATTGTTAGTAGTTGTTAGTATTTGTGCTTACCTCTCAGTCGTGCTCCCGTTCCCACAAAATGTGTGAAAGTCCAGTTCAGCTGGCTCAGTGGTCAGGTTTTCCTTTGATGTTCGATCCTTATTCTAGGATTAAGCGTTGCCTATAGGGTGGCTTTTTATGCACTGAGACCCTTGGGGAGGAATGGAGAAATGGTATAGGAGCCCCCTAATGCGTTGCAGGCCGCTACGTACAGGCCAATATCCTCCAACACTTTTAAAAAAGCCAACAAATGGCTGAAAACAGTTTTCTCACCCCTCTTTCCATTGCCATACCCCTCCACTCACATACTCAACGTAGAGGCGGAGGGTAGTTATGTGGACAGCAGCTGCAAGAGGATGGGGACGCCACTGCTTGCTTATGCTGTACTTTGTATCGTTTTGTATGTGTTCACTGCACAGCCGTAGTGCGTGAACCGCATATGCAAGCGCACACGTATAAAGTAGTCAGGGATCCTGTAGTGTACAGTATTCTCATGGGATATGGCCCTCACAAGGATCTTCCAAGCATGGAGGATCCTGTTGCGTTCCATGGGCTCCCATAAACGTGGGGTCAAGCTTTTTGAAGACTACGAAGGCTTGTTGCTGATTCTGATAGCATACGAAGCCAAACTGTTGGGAGGGGATAGGTGAAAGGAGCGTGGAACTAAGGAGAAGCCGATCCGAGGAAGGGATAGAGAGGATCACGTAACTGGCGTGACAGGTTTACACGCCAATTCGCGAGGCGCCCCTACTTTCGTATTTATATCAGGCACTCTTTCACATTTTCTATTTAACTGAGCCATTGAACAACCATGGCTATTACGTTCCTGGCGGTTTTCAATGCTGTTGGTAGGGCAGAGAACGCATCTGTGAGAGGCTGCCTTCCTTTAGCGTGAGTCTTCCATGTCCGACTTTTCGCCTCTTTTAGGAACCTTTCACTTTGCGTTACCGGGAGGAACTAATTAGAAGGGACGAATGGATCGATAAACCCGCGTTTTCTGTTTGTTTTCTGCTTACGTCCGTTTGGGAATTGTTGACCAATAAGGGGAGCCTCCGAGGCACTGAGGCAACAAAAAGTTTAGGCAGTGTCTGAACTCAACATTTGCCTTTTAAAAAGGTCTATTCCTGAGGCTGTGGGCAGGTTGAACTGGTTCTTCCACCATTTCCACCCACAGCTACAGGCTTTACAATAAATTGCTCATCAAGATGCCACCAACTTCCTCCCTTTCTTCCTACTGAATTTTGCGGTTGTCATTTTTCCTTTTCTATTTACTTCTTCAAATTCACACAATGATGGGGTACCTACCGAAACATCCCAATGAATGCAGTTATTACAGCTCTTTCGTCCTCGTAGTATGACCTCGGTTAACCTACAGTCCACGACCCCTAGATTGGAGACTCCCTTTCTATGTATTCCACTTTAAGGGCCTTCCTTCTTCTTATGAATATGGGTACCTTGGAAAAGCTAAGTATATTTAAAGGTCACAAACGTTCAACACGGCACTCAGCGCTGGTCATGCTTCAGGCGCATCTGTTACAGACGCAATGTAACGAGGCCATCACAAATTGGCAGTTCCTGTCTTTAAGCATCGTAATTACGGCAAATATCATTGTAAATAAGATTTTATGGTTTTAAAGCTGATGTCTGCGGATTAGTATGCCCAATAATACCCCTTCGGTTAGCCCCAGCCCCCCCGTGCCAGTCGGCTGTCAGCGGCACGGTCATAGCACGCCTCCGGTCTACTGGACTCCGCCGGTGCCCCGATTTATTTATCTCCTTTATTGACCACATAAAAATTAGGGCGTGGAGCAGAGGGTTTTTTGGGTCAGGGCTCAGAGTTGAGGGCTTCTGATTGTTGACCCGTTGAGTGACTGACGACCTCCCGCCGTAGAAATCAGGGCCGCCTTGCATTCCCTGAAATGCATTGAAATTATTTTTGCACATTAAGCTTACAAGATTGACATTTTAGTGCCTAAGACTTGAACTTCAGGGGTTCAGGACTTGGATGCGCACGGACGAGCCGCTCACTGAAGATTCCAGAAATAACAAGTTTCACGATTAAACACCGGTATTTTGAGCATAATGGAGCGCGCACCGTCGCAGCAGCAGCAGCTGCTGCCATCACAGCATCTCCGAGAACCGCAATACCAGCAGCACCCACAGGAGCAGCAACAACTACAGCCGCAGCAGCAAGAACAGCAACAACAACCAAGGCTCTTGCTACAAAGAGAAGCGAACTCCGCCCCTCAGAGAGCGACGAGCTTGCCACCCACTTCTCGGCAGGCTTCAGCAGCCATTTCAATGCAAACTATCCCCAATCACGTTCAACACCGGCAGCATCCGCAACAGCAGCACCCTCAGCCACAACCACATGTCAACGGGGTGCATATGAGGCCTCCTCAAACGGTGCAACAGCTACAGCAGCAACAGCAAGAGCAGCAGCACCACTTGCTGTTTGAGCAGCAGAGACAGCGAAAGGCAGAGTGCCAAGTTGGGGACAGCCTGGGGGGCCCCTGCTGCGCCCCTACGCCAGCGGGTGGCCCGCGCTATTTGGACCTTTTGCGGGGCACCACAGTACCTTTTGGCTCTTCCGCCTACCCCTCTTTCCCTCTCTCCAATGTAGGGCCTGTGCCTCTGCAACCCTGGCAGCAGCAGCAGTGGATGCAGCAGCAGCAGTGGATGCAGCAGCAACAGTGGATGCAGCAGCAGCAGCAGGCGCTGCACGCTCAACAGCAAATGAGATCCCCCTACGTAGCCCCAGTGTGTGCCGAGCCAGCGAAGCCAACGGCCACAACGGTACGTGCAGAAATTATCCCGCGTGATCCGTCGTGCAAGGTCTCTATTTTGGATATAGGTGCAGGGTTCAGGCTATTTTTGCGTATCCTTGTTACCTGTGCAGCTGCGTCCTACTCAGCTGCTGCCCATGCGGCTGGTAGGTGACCTTCGGCTCTATGTTCCACACCGAGAACCCTTCCTCGGCGAAGGCGGGTAAGGCCAAGGGCCTGGCAGGCACCAGTTTGGTGGCTTAAGAGGACGTGGATGCTGAATGCGCGTCTCTCAGAAACAGAAACTTCTCTCTACAGACGCTTCATCTCTGTTAACAGTCCATTCTTCTACTGCTATCATCTGTGCCGTCCTACAGCCCCACCTACCCTATATTGCGCTTTTCTAGCACGCCTTATCCTCATTCTCGCATTTTATGCCCCGATACACGTTTGGACATTGATAGACATAGATATATAAAACTTTCGCCGCTGTAGCAATCTATGTGCCTCTCCTCGCCCCAGTGCCTGTGTCTGTGTGTGCTTGTTATGAGGCCTTTCGCTTTTTTTCATGACTGCTTGCAGGAGCGTTCACATGTATCTGCTGGGAAAGCAGGTGAAGCATCTGGTTGCCACCGATGAGGCAGAGGAGTGCACACGTGACGTTCTGGCCCTCATTGACGCCCAGGAGGTCCCTGCAGACAGCACTATGCCGCTGCTTATACACAACGTCAGTTTGCCGTGGATCATAGAAATCGTCATCTGCTGGTGTATGGTGTGCCTCCTGTAGCGTGCCCAAAGGTGGCAAAGGCGCCACGTGCAGATCGCCTAGTCTGCGAGCGCTGACACTAACATGCACCGATTGACGCTGTGCTATGGTGCATCCTTTACCCGATAAAGTTTAGTCCTCCGAGATGGCAAAAAGTCTTTGTTTTGTTGTAGGGTCACGTTGTCTGTGGGGGCCCCGAAGTCTGCCTTCGCTACTTGGCCAAAAAGCTCGGGCAGTACGGGGCTGACCACCTGAAGGATGCATTGCTGGACAGATTGGTAAGGAGCAAGGGATTGCATGCTGCTGAGGGTCGCCTGCCGCTGTTGCTGTTGCTGACGGTCCAAAATGCCCATGTTCGCGTTGCCGCTGGTGGTCGTGAGGACAGTAGGAGCAACGAATGTGCGTTTCTTTGGCGCCTCGAGTGCCCCGTAGGGTGTCTTTCTTTTCCCGTAGTTATGCAATACTCTCAGCGCTGTGATTCTCATGTGCCACCGTGTTTAGCTAACTGACCTCAGCGCGTGGTTCAACGTCCAGCAGGCAGCCATTCAAGCCATCCTCGCCCCCGACGCTACGGCCAAGGACGCCGTTGGAGACTATCTTAAGGTGCAGTCACACATGAAAAGCTAGACCCGCTTCTGCTGTATCATGAAGAGAGCGGCGAAAGCAATGGCTATGCGGCGTGCGTGGTGCTGCCGCCTATCTTTGCAGAGCCGCCGCCATTTCTACTTGGAAGCTGAAAAACTTTTGGCGTTCTTTAACAGGAAACACTTGCAAGGGGAGCCAGGAACTCGTCTTGACGCCTCTCTGAGAGGCCATAGCAAATCGCTGGATGCCTCTCTGAGGGCCCCCATGGCAACTCGCTTGCAGCCCTTCTTCTTCGGGGAGGAAGACTCCTTAGCTGATTATTTTCTTTTCTCGCTTGTTGACGATGACCAGCGGATTGCGGAGTGTCTCAGCAGCTGCACCAGCGGCGGTGAAGCAGCCGCCAGCGCAGAGCAACAGCAGCACCCGCAGCAAGAGCAGCAGCAAAACGACCAACAACGGCAAGAGCAACACAAGTCGGAGAACGCGGATGTCGAGATGCATTTCTTCAATGAAACACCCCACCTTCACACTCTGTACGTTGCGCTGCTCAACCTCCCGCTTATCCAGGAGGCACTGCTCTCCAGCGACGGCCAGGAAGCAGCCGGGCAAGGGTCAAGAGCACCCGAGGACGGCAGTCTCGACACGATGGGGGAGGCAAGGGACAGGGTGGGGCCTTGCGTGGCCACGGAGGCCTCGACAACTGCGTCTGTAAACGACTCTCCACTGCAGCAATTTCAGCGGCAGCAGCAGCTCCATTTACAGCTGCAGCAGATGAAGCAGCTGCAGCCGATAGGTGAGCTCAAATGTAGTCCATCGCTCACTAGATTTCAATCCCGAAACCAATAGAAGCACATTTACTAACACGTTTCTAGATATGCGTTTCCACTGCACTGAGGGGCTCCCCAGTATCTTCAAGCTTCTCTGCCATGGCTCTTTAAGGCTTCTACCTCCGTACTCATGGTGGCTATTCCTGCCGCTGGGCTTTATCAAGCTAGCTTATTTAGACATATGCTTTTACTAGCGCCTGTGTACATTTTTGGGGTGTTCTTTTGTCTTGAATGTACCGTTGCACGAGTAGAAGGGCCTCAACGAAACGAAAAGGTCTCGCAGCCGATCCAAACCCCAGGGTCAATTCCGTTCTAAGCCCTGTCGAATGCTGATGTTGCACCTGAGAAAGACGATTAGAGGTTGTGCGAAACTCTCGGTATCCATGTTTTTTTCGCTTCGCGTGTGTGCGAGTGGAGTAGCCAGCAGAGATGCGGTGCCCCGGGATTTGCTTGCAGGCATGTCCGGCCCCTACAACCACTGTGGAGAAGGGCCCTCAGGAGGCCTTTCTTACTCTTTCTGCCCTTCTGGGGGTTCCTACTGTCTTCCCCGGACCCCAGAGACAGCAGCCACACTGCAGCAGACGCTGCCGAGTACCCTCACAGGGGCCTCCTTAGGGGGCCCCTGCTCGGCCTATCCACAGCAGGTGATGCCAGGACCGCCGGCAGCGACAGTGCCCCCGCTAACCGCGTCTTACGTAGGAGTCCCCTGTTGCTGGCAGCCACTTACTCCGGGACCCCTGCAGCGGCAGAAGAACCTACAGAGAGAAGACGGCGGCCTGTATACAACCCAAAACATGGTACACGCTTATTCGCAGATCCAGCAACCGGCAGGTCAAAAAGGGGGGGCGGCCCAGAGCATGCAGCAGCCGTCCTTTGCCACCATGAATATCTCAAGCGGCTTTAGCCCTCGGGTCGCGGTCGGGCAGGAGGCTGGAGGAGTTGCCAAGTGACTCAAGCGCCCGCATAGTGACTACGGCAGCACCTTTAGGGCACTATTTTTCGGACAGGTGTAAAAGCGGTTTCGACCCAACTGACTGAAAATCCCGCAGGGGTACACCCGCACGAATGCTGATAGCATTACACAGCTCAATTCACTAGAATATCTTTACTTCTAGGGTGTCCTTTTTGTACAGTGATAGAGCTGGAAAGCCATTGTTGCAGGCTTGCGTGCGCCTAAAGCTCCTACTATACTAAGGCGTTGGGAGTTCTCCTACTGGCTTGGCAGTAGGGCGCCATTACCTACCTATTCAGGGGGACCCCAGCTTCACGTAAGGAAATTATTTTCCTCCCACTCTGAATTCTGTCGTCACTTCATCTACGCAAAACACTGTTAACTTTTGTCTAGAACGTGAGACACTCCAAGTAGGCGCAAAAGCCGGACCGCACTTTTCGGTGTCCCTTGGCCTGCGCCCCTTTCTGCACAACCTCGTGCCTTAGGTCTTTTAGAAGCGGCACCCGATTGCGTCGTGATTAGTTACTTGTAAAATGGTCCTGAGGTGATGCGTAAGAATGTTCTTATGCCCCCAGCAGGACAGCCGCAGCACCACTGACACTGGTAGGCGAAGAGTCAGCCCTAGTGCGCCTCACGAAGAGCGGCTATCTAAAGGCCAGGTTCGCCTTGCTGCTAAGAAAATTGTTACCAGCAAACTAGCCAGCCCAATCGTGCGGGCCTTGTGGGTAACAGCTTCGATCCTTCACTTATCAAGGGGGGCGTAGGGCCCCGTTAGCAACTCGTCCGGGGGCGGCGCGAAGGAAAGACGATTTGGTCCTCGGCGATCCGGCGAAGCCGACCTGAGAGTCAGCAGAGACAGAGACACAAACGCACAAGCGTCACCCTCCGAGGACCCCAACATGCCCAAGACCTCTGCCTAAAGCACAATGCAAGCTTTGACAGAGGCTAAATGTAGTATAGCCGGATGACCAGACAAATAGTATGACACGCACATGAGCTTGCCAAGTAACAGGAATGCGATATCAAAGAGATGAAAGAAACGATAAAACAGGAGCAGGCTGACACATGAAATTGAAAGGAAACGTGCTGGGATGGCAACGCGCACACGGCGATTGAATCAAATATACTCCTCTGACACAGATGAACCTTATAACTCATACATAAGCATATGTACAAATGCATTTTGAAAACAACAGCGACTCTAGGCCTGGAAAGCGCGTTTACACTACAGTTTCAACAGGATACAGCATGAATCGCAGACTCCGGTCTGTGAGCGCTGACCGCGATTTTTGCCCCCTCTTTTTGCGTCTTTCTTCTGCCTCTTTTCTCCTGCGCATCATCTCCGCCTCGTCGGGCAGCGCCGACTGCCAGAAAGAGGCGGCAGCTGCTCCCCGTATATCTTGGCCAGGAGAAGGACTGGGAAACGATCGAAACAGGCAACAAGATTCTCGCCGCCGCTGTCCATAGCTTAACTCCGCTAAAACACTGGGCAAGCCTACCGTGCAGGGCTCAGCGATTGTGTTAGACCCTTCAAGTTTGCGCGGGTGCTCCTAGGAAGACTTCCACTACTGACCCCAAAACCCTAGCTCAGAACTGGGAGGCACAAAGGAAAGACCCAGCAGCAGCAATAGAAGAGGGCAAGGGACTAGCAGGACCGACCCGTATGGCGACTGAGAAACACACAAATAACGCCCCACAGCAACAACGGTCCTCATGACTTTTGGCCATCCAGTTGAAGGCAGCACACGCACTAATTGCTATCTCCTGGCTGAGCGCCGCACAAGGTGCATGCGCTAGGATCTAGAAGCTCACTTCTCTCCAACCTCCTCTAAAACCACCTGGAGCTGAAAAAAGTACACGCAAGAAAGCTATACAGCGTTAAAGTCATGAAGCCAGCACCCGTGGAGCAGCGCTTGCGCGGAAATCCCCGTTGGAGAGTCCGAAAGTCCTTTTGAAGCAAAACGATTTGGGCTCCGTGTAAATAGCACACTGAACTGGTTTAGATATAGAATTTCGGGGGATCCGGCTAAGCGACACGTTCGGAAGGGCATTAATGAGGGATTAAAGTGTGCAGGGCGTAAAGGGTCTATTACAAGTGTCTCTTGTGAAGCCGTGCGCGTTGTGTTGTCGCCATGCCTCCTCTATGCACACGAGGCGCCACCGTACAAGCCTGAGCGCCTTCTCCGCAGCTCCTTGCGTGCAAGCCCTAATCAAATAGCGCAGTCCTGCCCTCTCTACGTGGCCATAGCCTGCAAGACGAACGCACAAACACACCAATGTACATGCATCCTTTAGGCCCCTATTGCATGCACCCTAATCCATAAATTCACGGCCTCGCGTGCCGTGAAAAAAAAAGCCCTAGAGCTTCGCAGCTGTAACAGGTATGCTGGAATTCTGTGGATGAGGAGTTTGAATTGTGACGGTGGAGAGAAAAACCCACCTTGGGGTTGATCTGGCTCGATGTCAACAATAGCCCCCGTCCGCGCACAGATTTCTTTCAAAAAGTCATCCTGCAGAAGAAGCGACCGTCATGACATCCTGAACCTTGAACCCTTTTCTCCTGATTCGTGAGACCTTGGATAGCCCTAGCGGCTGGTGGTGTCGCCTGAAGGCCGGCGACGCCGAGGCACTACTAGAGGCTCCATGAATAGACAGAGCACTTGGATGTGGACGAAAGTGTAAATGTTACTTCTGCACCGAACAGGTGCTCGCTGGCTCGAAGGAAGCGCGATCTACGCGCCCAGCTACTTTTTAAATAAAACACCTCGTAATACCCCGCACGCAGTGTGCCCGTAGACTTCTGGTGCCCCAGTGTGAGTGTATCCATGAATGGCCGTCTTACGTCTTCTCCTGACATAGCAGCGGTACAGTCAAAGGTCTCATCTTCTGCTGCGTCCGCTGGGGCAGACAGGTACTGCGGAGGTCCTAAGAGGCTCCCTGCAAAATTGCACAAGCGAGCCTGGAAGGCATCTCCGGTTGGCGGAGAAGTATGGAAGCAGGGTCTACGGCACGGACTCGCGTGGTGCTGCCAAGCCGTAAAAAGCCTCACAAACAGCAACTGTGCCTCTGAATAACGTCTCCTGGTCCTCCGCAACCACTCGAACAAGCACTCCTTGCTGATGGGGATGCTGTTGCTGTTGCTGCTGCGAGGGGCAGCCACGCAGCACGAAACCCGCGCCACTCCGTCGCCTCAGAGCAGCAATAGTCTCCGGATGCTGCAGCTGCTGCCATGACTCGGGGGAGGCTGCAGTGACAGCGCACACCCCGGACTGCAGCGGCAAGTCCAGTACCCACATGCCGTTCTCCGACTGTCTCTGCAGCACGACCGTAGGAACGACACAATGTGCGGAGACAACATGAGTGGCTGTGGCACAGCAGCAGCAGCAAGGGCACCCGTAGCGTGGGGGAGGGGCGGTAAGGGGCCATGCGGGTATAGAGGCTGGCACAAAAGGGATAAAATCCGGCACCAATCGGCGGCATCGTTGCTGTTTCATGAGCTAGACACTGAGAAATCTTCATAGGTATTCGGCCTTACAGCGGTGTTTCTAAGATCTGAACCCAACAAATCGGGGTCTTTCACATCTGGCTTCGGGATGGCAGCGCACACGGTTGCCATTGCCCGCACTGCTGATTTGCGGGCTCGCTGCTGCAGTAGCTGTACAGACAACACCACAATGCCGTATACAGCAGCAGACCTCTTAGCAATGACAGCACTCAAGACTACACGAATCCACTGACCAAGCAAGCAGAAATGGCGCACGGAAATATGCGCCTCTCTGTCTCTGTCTGTCTCTCTCTCTCTCTCCCTGTCTCTGTCTGTCTGTCTGTCTGTCTGTCTGTCTGTCTGTCTGTCTGTCTGTCTGTCTCTCCCTGTCTCGCTGTCTCTCTGTCTGTCTGTCTGTCTGTCTCTCTCTGTCTGTCTCTCTGTCTGTCTGTCTGTCTCTCTGTCTCTCTCTCCAACATGCCTGCTGCACTGTACCTGCTTCTGCTGTGCTGCAATTGCTGCTGCAGCATCGACAGAGTTCCACGAGCCCTCGTTTTGCCCCGGCGTGGGCAGAACGTGCGGCTGCTTGTCCGCCCCCCCCCCGTGGGGGGCCCCCTGGTCGAATCCCGATGAACCTCGCGGCGTACTGTTCGAGGGGCCTCCGTAGTCAAAGGAGGGAGTCCCTCGAGAAGAGGTAAGGCTCCCACGAGAAGCCGCCACCGGAGGTCTGTGGGAAAACCCCAAGTGCGGCATTGACGGCGGCGGGGCGGGGGGCCCCGAGGGGGGGGAGATGATGCCCTTAGAACGGGCGAGCGAAGCGGCAATAGCCTGAGCCCTCTGAACAGACTCCGCGATGGAGGAGTCAGAGCTCGGAGTAGAGGCTCCCATAGCACCAGAGGCCGACATATTCAACCCTCAACGCTTCAAGGAAGCCCTAAACCCTAGACAATAGAGATCCCGAACCGCCCGCAAGATGTGCAGGCTATAGCAGCGTACATGCTATGCGCGGTGCCGTATAGACAGCAGGAGAGCAAGAGGCAAGAAAACGGGAGCAGTCATGAGCAAAGAAACCTTTAACCAAATTCTGTAATCCCTGTAAGTGGCCCAAGGTGGCATTCGGTTACAGATAGCGGCTACGCCACCAAAACGGGGCATCCAGCCAAAAGAAAGTGCAGAGTTTCTTCGTCTGTTTCTTCGGATACGGCTTAAGAGCTGACGGACGACCATTTCAAGGCTTGGCTGATGCTTTGCTGAGGCTCAGCCCTCATGCAGCCCCACCACCTACACAGGTCATTTGACACTCTCCACTCCAAAGGCCCTGTACAAACGAATGCTTTCCTCCTATGTAGCCGTGCAGAGTCCTAGATTTTTGAGCCTCATGTCTGAATGTCAAGCGCTACGCCTATTTTTGCTTAATTCACGCGCGCTACCACTGCAGCAACTATGAGCTGCTGTGCATCTTGTACTGCGTACAAAGGATTGTGTTCCTATAGTGGCACCTCAATTTACATTTAGACTTCAACTTTCTACTTAAACAACTGGTACAAAGCTCTGAGGGCCCCCTTCTGGTGCTACTCCCCCACATTCTGCGAGGCACCCGGAACACGAACAGTCTGAATTCACCAGTCGAAGAGAAGCATCCACCTCAGCACCACCAGTTTTTAGTCCATTTCGAGACCTTGATCAGCGTGTTCTTTGCTTGAACCTGCTTGTTAGCTTTGCAAGATTGGGTTCTTTCCTTCCACCTGTCCTAAGCTTTTCTTAGACTTCAGGTGTGAGGTTCAGTATGCTCAATCGAGAAATTCCGTGACGCCCTGCGGGTTTTGTTTAGATGGAGAGTATGTAACAGTCTATGAACACGTGTAACGGTCCAGTGCCGCGCAAATCTAAAGCAGCAGTCATGCTTCACGCAGTAGGCTGCCTGAGTGACACAGAAGCTTGATCATCTTATGGGCGTGCGTTCGCCCTCGTTTAAAAGTCTACACGAATATCTGAAAAACGCCTTTGTGGGCCTCCGCGTAAGTAGAACCTCATGGAGGCTAGTGGTAACCTTCAACTTTCAGAGGGCCGGGAAGGCTGTAGGAAAAGGGGCAAGAGCGGGTGATCCCTCAGGCGAAAGGGCTAAGGTGGAATGTGGTGTAGAGAAGTGGAATGTCTCTGGGCTGCTGTGCTTGTATTCCGTTGCGACGGGGGGCCCCTCGTGCCGGCCTCTTTTGACTCTGTACCCCAGGGATCCCGCCGAGCCCCTGGGTCCTCTCCCCGAGCCATGAATAGCCCCTGCCTTAGCCCTCCGTAGCCACTCGAGTGCCAGCTGCTGAGCTCTTTCTTTGCCAAACTTCTTTGACTGAAAGACCTTGTATCGTGCTTGGGGCTCTTCCATCCAAAACACCCTAGAAAAGCAGCACAAGGCAACGAGCAAATAGGGAAAACTTCAAGGGAAGAACAAGATTTTTAAAGTGCTTGGATGTGCTTACATGTATGTATATAGCATTTGCCGTACTCAATATTTGCATAAAAAAGCATTCCTTGTCTTCCGCAACTAAAACAAAGGCTACTGCAAATGGGTCACCTCTTCGTCCCGTTCTCCCCCCTGTTTGACTAAATGTTTTTCTTGCCATAGGACCTAGCCCCGTATGAAGCTTCTCTGCTCGAAATCTAGTGCCTTAAGGATATTGCTGAGTTGGCGGCGAGTCCTACTACTAAGCTATTACGCCGTGTAAAGGGCTGAGTTTAGATATGGTTGATGTGAAGCTTTCTGTCATGCGCCCATGCTCCCAAGACGTTCTTGATAGGATTTTACCACTAGAGAACATGAGTCCTTACCTCCATTCTCGGCTTTCACCATCGTACTGTAGCACCGGATCCACGGATTTGCGAGGTCCTGCTGCAGCGATAGCGGCGAGCATCTGAGGCGGAAGGGGGAGGGGCTTGCGGAAGCCTTTTCTCGTCCTTACAGGCACTGCTGCAATCCCCAGTGGTGATGAAGGGATACTAACGCTGCCACTGCTTGTAGCGTCTTTCATACTATGCCTCCCGTTGTCTCGCCAGAGGCTCCCGCCGTATGCTGAGGGGCCACCGTGGCCTTTTGCCTGTTTCTCAGTTTCCTGAGTATCTCCCCAGGTATCTTCGTGGCATTTGTAAGGGCCACCTACTGGAGAACGCATAAGATGTTGGTGTGGACTGGGCCTTAAACTAAAGGTAGCCCCATTGGTTCTGCTGGGAGGCAACAGGGTACCTTGCCCTGTCTGTTTTGCTACGGTGCACCCCTCAGCCGGGCGCTCTCTCTCCCTTGTCGCTCCTTCCCTTCTCCTGCGGCCTTCAGTTAAAGTCTTTATTCCCCCAAACGCTCCTCGGTTGCAGGAACGAGGGCTCAAACTAACGAGAGGCAGCATGGGGTCTTTGTCCTCCAGGGCACTCTCCCGGGCCTCGTCCTCTGAAGATTCTGAACAGAAAGCTGTAGTACTTACGAAAAAGTCTACGGAGAGCGCCGTTCGGGGATACCGGTTTAGGGTGGTGGAATGCCCACTGGGTTGCCTTTCGAGCCCTACAAAGGGATCATTAGCCTCTGGCAAGCGGCAAGGCGACCCCTGCCCGTCATCTCCGTCCTCTCTGGCAAACGTGCTCTTCGCGGAAGCGCGCTTCTTGTGTGAACTCGGATGCCAGCAGGCTTTGGCTTTGATGGGGCTGCAGACTTGGGGGTCCACCTCTGCCCTATGGGGGATTTCCCACTGTTGCGTGGGACTGCCCCAATCGCTTACGGGTGGAGTGTCTTCAGTGGAGGCCCGCATCCAAGAAAGCCCTGCTAAAGGAAATGGATGGGGCCCTTCAGTCACAGAGAGCGCCCCTAAAGGGCCTTTGGGCAATTCCATAGCAGCAGATGCGGTGATGCGACTGGGGCTGACCGAGCAATAGATATCTCTTGGAGGGGCACCTGGGGCCGCAGAGTCATCAGTCCCTAGATAACGTGGGGCCCAGCAGTTTACCTGGTGCATAAAGAAGCAGCATGTACAAGTGCAGCTATAACAGGTGCGTATGCGAAGAGACCGACCCAGCATGCGCCCTCTCTCTCTATGCATGTATCCTTCTACCCTGGTCCAGCAACCACAAGAAGGGCAGTACAGGCGGCATGCGAACAATGGCTTAGCTCTTAATTCCAGACGTTTGAGCACATACCTTGAGTGCGCTCCGTTTGCCATGGCTGTCGGCGCTCATACCCACCCTGCTGGCTAATGGTAGCTGGTGTGGGGGCCCCTGAACAGGAGGGAGCTCCCAGTCAGTGGCTGCAGTAGCCTGTGCAGCTCGCTGCAGCAGAAGCTCAAGCTCTTGCTGGGGGTTCACGAGGGCATGGTCGCCTCTGCAGCACCCAGCGCCCTGCGGTGCCGGCTCCTGTAGAGTACCACAAAGGCACAGGGGCCCCCAGGAGACACCCAGAAGCAGATGCTCGAGACAGTAGCACAGCCGAGATTCCACTGAAGGAGCTCCCGGTAAGCAAGCACATTGAGGGAGTTTATTACTTCCCCTGGAACAAGACTCATCGCTTGGACAGTCCTTTTTCGCTGATCTTGGTGTTGCCACCGGTGCAGGCATTGATAGTGCCACTGAACCTTCATCTGGAGGCGCCGCCACTGCGCCCGAAGGACTGACACCCTCACTGGTGCTTATTTTCGGGCGTTGGCCATTCTGGAAATAATCCTGCTGGCGTATGAGGCAGCAGCTAATGCGGTGATTATTGCTACTGCGCTCCTTCGGGCTCCTGCTGCAATCCTGTTCCGCAGCCCAGAGCGGCGAGAATTTCTGTGCACATAGTTCCTTTATGGTTACGACAGCAGCAGTGGCGCGTTCAGCGGCAGCGGGGCCCACGGCAGCTGCTGTTGCTGGGGCGTCACTCCTGTGATCGGGGTTGACTTCATCCTGAAGCCCCTCTTGGCCTCCGACCTCAAGGAAACTGTGTTTTGTAATGCCGCCAGGAGCCCCTTGTGTGAAGGAACCGTGCAGCTGAGTGGCACGGGTGTCGCTTTCTGGAGACTTCTTGTTTTGACCTTTAGCAATTGTGTCTTGCTGGAGTGCTGCAGCGGCATCCAGGGGACAGTGTGCATCGTTTCTGCTGCAAACCCGGCCACTGCTTTCGCTGCCAATACTTGGAGAAGACGCAGAGTATGGAGAGGAAGAGCCGCTGCGAATTGCCTCCTTCACAGGCACATGCAAGCGGCCCGACCATTTGCCGTCTTCGCTGCTAGGGCTGCTGCTGCAGTCAACTCCGCGGAAGGACGACTCCACAGGGATGTCGAGAGGCCCCTCTGGCCGACTGGAGGAACTGCATACAGTGCTGCAGTCTAGATCATCCGAATCTTTGCCGCTGCTAGCGCTGACGTCTTTGCTGCGGTGGGGACTCCACCACCGGTACGCCTTGCAATTGCTGCTACTGCTGCTCCCGCTGCATCCAGTGTCTGCGCAACAGTAACAAGCGCCCTGTTCGGTTGCCACTGGAGCCTCGGTGAAATTGTATGTACCTCCCCAGTCTTCTGCTACCTCATCAGCTCCTGCTGGGCTGCTGCTGCTGCAGCAGGCGACCCCAACGGGGGCAAAGGAAAGCAGCTCCGGAGGCGCCGTTCCATCTCCTTGCTGTAGCTGGTGCGCTGCGACCACCTTAGTCTCTCCTAAGTATTCAATCGCCTCCATTTTGGGTGGGCAGTGAACTGCAGACTTGTGCTGCGTGTAGTTTCGGAGGTGGGACGGGAGCTGCGACGGTGCTGTTCTGTCTGAAAAGGATCTTTGCGCCGCTTGCCAGCCACAGAGGATGAAATGCGGAGGAAGGCGGCCATTCGTAGCCTTCAACCGCTTTTAGGTCTTTTGAAAGGGACTTTGAAGAAGATGCAGTTGGTGGTACCGCTGCTAGGTTTGTTGATGCGAGTACCCCTTCGTCCGCGACACCACCTTTTCCTTGATGGGGGGGGGAGCGAGGTCCGTGCAGCAGCAGATCTGCAATAAGCTGTTTCTACGGTGCTTGTGGCGCTTGATAGAAGCCTCTTGAAAGAATCAGGGGGAGGAAATGCTGCAAGGAAAGAACAGAGAAACTGCGTGACCAGGGACTAGGGTATAAGATGGGTAGGCTGTTTGCTGTCCCCTGTTGTGGATGCATATTTGTATCCGCCTGCTAAACCTTCAAAGCGCTGATAGAAAGCGTACAGAGAGACTTTGGCTTGGGTCAGCGGGGACCCCAAGGCAAGAACGTGGGAGCGAGACAGGCGCCCGTGTAGCCCGTGCAGAAGAAAAGGCCCTCTGGAGCTGTTAATTCTCGCTCATTGCTGGCCGGATGGGCCTTCAGTAAAGAAATCCATCATATTATATAGTTTGAATGCAAAAACAACAGGGAAACGCACAGAGCAAAGGGGGGAGCGGCAGTTCCTGGGGGTTGCCTGTCCCCGAATTGGAGGTGGTTCGTTCTCGAGCGCATTGAGGGTGAAGGAGGCAAGTTTGCACGTAACAAGCTAGTTACCCATGGCCTTAAGCCCTGGAGCTAATATATTCGATAACTGAGACATGATATGCCTGAACACATTTTCTAATCCTTTATTTGCGAAGATTTGGAGCCCCTGAAACCTCACTTGTTCTGGCATGGCACACCCGGTGTACCCCCTCTACCCTCACCCACCACCATCATCATCCGGACACTGAACCAAATCCAATCTTAAACACATGATCTAGCTTTAAAAATATGCAAGGCAGGAAGCTGCTTTTTGGGAACTGATGCAAAACCAAATAAAGTGGCAATACCTTCACGCTTTGCACATGCGGCTTAACAGAATCGACGTTACTGACTTTGTTGAGGTTCATCTCATTGCCGCTACTCTAGGTGCAACATAAGAGAATATACTAGCCAACATACGCAGTAAGTTACAAGCAATTAGCCAGGGGGTAGGCTCCCTACAATTTGCCGAAGAGGATGCAACCTACCAAGACGCACCAACAGCGCTCGGTGGATAAAACGGATCCACTCGCTGCCTGTAGGCTCTGATACAAGGCTCCAAGGATAGGAAATGGCTTTTACGTGATATCTATGGCTGTGGGCTAACGAAGCATGTAACCCTGGGATTCCAAATAGTTAAATCTACTCAAAGCTGCCTGGAGCAGCAGACTGCCAGAAGCGGCATACTGCCCGTACACTGGCTGCCTGAAAAACAAAGCTACAAGGTTGACAGGGTAAATCTAATGCATAAGCGACAGCTCTTGAAGAATTAAGGGAGCGTTTGTGCGTGAGTAGGGGGGCTGCAGCAACTCAGAGTTCGGGCACCTCTGCCTATTGACTGCGTGCACAGAAGTCGCTTTTTCACACGCGTTTTTTCCCCAACCGCTGTACTCCTCTCTAGCCTAAAGTCAACTACTTACTTATTGTGCTGAAATATATTATAAAAGAAAAAATTAGACAAATCGCAGCGCAAGTCGCCTTCGAGTTTTCGTCCACCTTCCCCTTGGGGCGGCAACCAGAGCCCCCGTTGAAATTTGCTGGGGTTGCCTAGCTGTTAAAATGTTGGTTAGTCTTCCGAAATCTGGAGCTTATGCTATAGTTGAGGGCACTAGCCATTGCTAGAAGACGTAACTAGGGCAACAGCAGCATGTTTCTTTGTAGCGGCATGTGCATCGCTTATTCATCAATGCAGTCCGGGTGCTCGCTGCCGCTGCACAGCCCGCTGGCACTTGAAGGGAAAAAGATGGCGTCACAGCCCTCCCTGAAATAAAACAGAAAACACACTTAGATACAGTATGCCCTTGTGCATTCTATGTCTCTATCGTCCTACATACAACTGCCCACCTCGATGAGTTTACTAGTTTCTCCCACCCTGAAAGTTGTTCTCTGTTGCATGCCTGCATTCTTGTGGGGCTTACTGATTTTCTGGAGGGCCCTGATAAGCACTTTCTTTGGCTTCTTCTTGCTGCACTGTTTTTTCTGTCGCCTTCAAACAGGGAATCGCGGAAGCGACAGCTGCAGAAACGCTGCTGGCCGTCTGCTGCAACAGTTGTAGCAACTCTAGCAGCAAGTCGCTCACTAACACCCAATCGTCTTGCTGCATCAGGTCGTGTACACCAATTTTGCAGGAGCAACAGCTGCAACTGGTGCTGCACTTGAACTCGATGCAAATCAATTCCCCCGTAAAGAAGGTACAGATTTGTTTCCATGCCACGCTAAGCTGGCGCTGCTTCTGGCCAGCAAGAAGTCGACGTAGGGGGTGCATGCAAAGGCGTAACACAGGTGCCCGCAGCGACGAAACAGCAACCGCAACGCGGAGCAGAAGTACCCACAGGCAGCAACTGTTGCTGTCGTTGCCGCTGCTGTCGACGACGTCAACCGAGGGAAGGCAATAGCCATGGTGATCCAGCAGCACCTGCAGCAGCTGCTGCAGCACTGCCACGGGATACTGTTGCTGCGCTGCACTCCATCTGTCGTTTCCGAGAAGTGCCTGCCTCGTGAAGCTCAGACAGCACATGTTGGGGCAGCTAGAGGCGCGAAGGCTGCAACATGCCGTACGGGTGCCTGGCTGTTCAAGTGCCAGAACCACGTGTGCCGCAGTGGCCGTCGCAGAATGCACAAGCAATGAAAAGTTCTGCTGTAAATGGTGCAGCGCCTGTTGCTGCGCCGCATGCTGCTGCCCCTCAGAAGCAGTAACTGCTGCAGCTGCTTCAGCGAATGCTGCCACAAGGCCGCCACGAGCTTCTATAATGGCCAGCGCATGTTGTTGTGCAACCCCAAAGCACGCAGCTGGTTCTTCAATTGTTGTCGCTGCCCCCGATGCAGCGCTCGCGGAGGGGACTGTTGGAGGCTTTGCTGTTGCCTGAGCTGAGGAAGCACGTGACGGGAGGCAAAGCTGCTCCAGAGAGGGCTTCACAAGCTGTGCCCAGGAGCTGCACATGAGGCGAGCAGTGGCAGCACTAGCTGCTGCCGAGGAGCCCTTTAAAGCAGCCGCAGACGAGTGACCACAAGAAACCGCTATTCGACCTGAAAGGCAGCTAGCCAGCGCATGCAGAACCACGGTGGCGTTGCTTTCGAGCACCACAGACAGGCGGAATGTAGCAGCCACATCATGACACACCTCCTCACTCCCTCTGGCCCTGCCTAGAGAGGGACTCTGGGCATCCAACTTCCCCTGGAAAGCAATGGGAGGCTTGAATCGCCTACACGTCACGCTGCAAGCGGTTCTGAGGCTGCTCGTTTGGCTGATGCTCTTGTCGCTGCTGGTATTAGAACAGCTGTCGCTGCAGCACTGTCTGTTCCTAGCGACAGTAAATTCAAGGATCTGCTGCAGGAGCTTACTGGCAAGTGGCTGCTGCTGCTGCTGCGACTCTTGCTGCTGCAGCTGCATGTGTGATTGTGCAGTGGGAAGAAGGAAAGTGTCTGCGTTTACAGCAGCAGCCAGGAAGTCTTCCATCTGCTGTTGCTGGGTGGCTACCTGCCCCAGTCTAGCCGAATCCAGAGAAAACCGCATAACTGCTGCCGCCGCAGTTGCCAGCGTGTCCTGCAACGCAGCAGCAGCAGCTGCTGCTGCTACTGTTGCTCCTCCTGCTGCGGCTGAAAGTGGATCCGCCGATTCTGCCGGCATTGAGCCTCCATCTGAAAAGGGGTGGTTGCTGTAAAAAGACTGCATCTGCTTGCCAATGCTTCGTGCAGCCTCAGTGAGTGCAACAATGACCTTGCTCAAGCACCCTGCTGCTGCTGTGGCTGCCGCGGATTCCTCAAGCCCCAGAAGCATAAGAAGCAATTCCACCAAAGTGGCAACATATGCGTCCAGCGACTCGTGCAACGGCAGAAAATTTGCCGCTGCTCGGACGCGAGGCAGCTGCACCAGCACACAGACACAGGTCAGCGGTGCCTCGACTGCAGCTGCTGCTTCTTCCACGACACGCTTTGCTTTGCTGCTGTAGCGATTTTCACGGCCGGGTGGCCAGTCTCGTTGCAGCAGAGACAGAAGCAGAGCGAGCTGTTCCCTGGCTCGTCGCATTGCAGCACCAAGAAGCAACAGGAGATCCTGCTCGAGCTTCTGTTGTAGCTTGTGCTGCACAGACGCGCCGTCCAAGGAGCTCAAATGATGACGGTCTTGTTCGCGCAGCGGCTGCAGCTGCAAGGGACGCTGCTGCAAGGCAGACGCTAAGCGCACCAAGTGGAAACTCTCGGCTGCATGTTGAGAAAGCGGCAGTGGTGTCGGAGCCGTGCCTTGCATGGTGTCAGGATGCAGCAGCGGCTGCTTCACAGCTGGAAGCAGCAAACGCAGCAGTATAAGAAATGCTGGAGCAGCAACTTCCGCGGAGAATGCGCAGACGGCCCGGCGCACTGTGGCAGCCCTTAGTGCAGCAGACGGCTGTCTATCTTTCTGCAGCAGCAGCAAGAAGCCGCATGCAACGGAGGAAGCAACCTCTGCTGCTGCCGCCGCTGCTGCACTACTGCCGCTCCGTGCGGCTTTAATAATCAGACAGCACAAGCCCAACGCACTTGCTGCCGGTGCTCCCACTGTTGCTGAAGGCAGTGTTGCGTTTGCTGCTGTATCGACTTCCGTCCGCCCTGCATCACTAGCAAACAGCACGTCCTCGCTGTGTGGGGTAGCCATGTCTGCCGCTGCTAAAGGCACTGAGAGCTCGTCTAAAGCTGCGGCAGCAAGAACGTCTGAAGCTGACTCGCGCAGTTCCAAGCCAACTCCCCCGTGAAGCACACAATGAAATGCCACCACAATAACGATTTTGCTGCTACTGCCGGGGATACCACTGGAAGGCCGCCATGCACGCAGCAGCAGAGCCAGCTGCATATATAACGCCAGCTGCTTCTGCTGCTGCAAGGAGTCCACATTCAGCAGCAATTGCTCCGTTCGCCTGCAAATGCCACCCTGTTGCAGCTCCTGTAGCTGCAGCTTCAGTTGCTGCACTACCAATTCTGTGGGCTTCCTCAGCGCTTGTCTGTCACAGCAGCAAACGGGGCACGCGAGCCTTTGTTGCAGCAGCAAGAGCAGCAGCTGCAGCAGTAGATATTGCATCCGTTCATGCTGCGTCTGCTGCACTCGCGCATCCTGAAGTAGGCAACATAGGAATGCACAAAATTCGCTGCAGCTGTTGACACCGCAACAGCAAGGAGAGTTACAAGTGTTCCCTTGCTCTTGCTGCTGTTGTTGCCCTTGCTGCAGCTCCAAATGGTGGTGATTATGCAGCTCAAGACTTGCGGCTCCTATGCGGCGCAGCACCTGCTGTGCTGCTCCCGCTGGTAAGGACTGGTGCACGTGGTGCTGCTGGAGAGCAGCATCAGCATCAGCATCCCCATGGCTTGTTGTGAGCTCCTCTACTTCTGCCACTCGCGGAGGCATTCGGTCCGAAGCCGACGAGGCTTCGGGGGTTGCGGCAGCCCCTTCTACAGCTTCTGCTGTTGCAGCTGTCGCGACTGCACGTGGTGTTGCTGTGCATTGCTGCTGCTCCTCTGACTGGTCCCCTGACAAAAGCAAAGACTGCAGCAGCAAGGCAGTTTGATACCAGCAACTGCTGCCGCCTGGTCTGCGCTTGTTGCTGTTGCCGCTACTGCTGCTGCAGTCTTTGCCGCAGCAGCCTATGCACTGCGGCACTGAATCGCCTACAAAACATTCACCGCCTTTGCCGCTAGAGCTGCTGCTGGCTTGCACGCGCTTGGCTAGTAGGGATACCCTCTCGGGCCGCTCTTCCTGTAGGTGCTGATTCTGTTGATGCTGCTGCATGATCTGGTAACACTTGGCTTGCTGCCGCTCGCCTGAGGTGTCCTCCATGAGCAAGGCTGCCAGGTTCTCAGGCAACAAAATATCACTGCTATTATTCCATGTTTCCTCCTGCTCCTCCGCAGCAGCATCTGCAGCCACGGCAACGAGTCGCGCCTGCTGGCTGATGGGCAGCTTTTGCTTGTGCTCTCGATGCAAGCCTACATTTTGCTCCGACGATGCCTTAGGCTGCTGAGCTGAGGTATGGCGCTCTGCACCATCAATTGATGCATTATCAGAAAATGCAGCGGAGGACAGAGCGAGGGAATGGTCTGACAGGCTCTGCTGCCGCCTCCGCTGGTGAGCAGAAGGCGTATATCTGCTGCCTGCAGGGAAGGGTGCGAGCCGCTGCAACAACTGCAGAGCTGCACCGTGTAGGCCTTCTGATGCTAACGCTTCTGCTTCTGGTGTCTCCTGAGCTTCCACGCCGTATGCTAATGCCTGCGTCTTCCTTGCCACTATTAATGATGCGCAGTCTTCCGAAGGGCCGTCCGCAAGGCTCCTCCTTGCGGGCACGGCGCAGGCGTCTCTATCTGCCCCGCTGTAGCCATTTCTGCTGCGAATTTTCCAATTTCCGCTACTCTCCAGCGGCATAAAGCCTTCATAAGACCCACTAGAGCCTCGCTGTCGCCTCACTTGCTGCTCCTGGTGCTGGGAGATCGAATCCCCCTGCACACGACGAAGCAAAAGCGCGTCATTTTGGAGCTGCGCTGGTTTCGGCCGGCGGTCTGTAGGATGTGGCAGCTGAGGCTCTTTGTGCTGCTCCTGCTGCTGGAAATCTTCGGCCCTTGAAATAATGGGCTCCGTAGGAAGCCAGCATTCTGCACAGGGCATATTACGTGGGAGTTGGAATAGCAGCTGGTTCCTGTACCACTGGTTTTGTGATGAGGAGACGGCTGCCCCAGCAGAAGCAGAAGCAAGAGGAAGGAAGGCTGTTAACGGGGGATGCTAAAATTCGCAAACGGCTGCTGCTGCTGCAGTCGTGAGGATAATGGATTTCGCGTGGGCGGAAAGCGAGCTTGTTGGACTGGCTGTGGCTTCCTTAGCAACGTTCAATTTCTACCTGGCTGCCCCTTCTGCTTGGTGCGCCCTAAGGCTTGTTCATTTCCTCACTGCTGCCGATTTGCCTACTGCGCGGTGTACTGCCAAAGGCGTAGACATGCACATGGCAGACGATGTAGAACCACACGAACGGGAGCAAGATGCAGCAGACATACGCCGCATTTTACGGCAAGAGGGGCCTACCAACGAGTAGAAGAGCTGCAGCTCTTGCGGCAGCTGTTCTAAGTCTGCTGTACAGGATTCCGTAGATGGACATAACTCACGGAGATACCCTTTCAGCGTATGCCACCCGAGCCTCGGGGCAACCGAGAAGATAGGCAGACAAATTCTTTGAGTGCAATGCGGACAGACTAGAACAGGGCATGGAGAGCGCTCTAAAATCCCATTTAGTGGCTGTCACAGCCGTTGACAGAGATCCCCCCAAGATGGCGCGAAGCCAATGGCCCGAGAGCTTCTTAGAGTGTAAGCGAGCAGGAGAGGCAGCAGAAGGACTAAATAAGCCAAGGGAAGCCAGAGGAATATGAAAGGGTAAGTAATGCGGCAAAGAAATTAACAAGCACGAGTACCGCGGTTGATGCGCATCGTTACGCTGGGGGCTGGCGATGGACCCAAGGATGTTGGGTGCTAGGGCACTAATTAAAGCTAGGCCTGTGTGGGTAATTCTTCTCACAGTTGCCAAATTTACGCTTTTTCGCTAAAAGGTTGCTGGATGTCTGCTTTCGGCGCCCCCTAAGGAACCTTCTTCACTGCACCAACAGGCAGACCGCTACAGCGCTTTCCCTCGCTGCGGAACTTTAACTACCTCTTTCCTCAGCATAGCCATCACTAGCTCTCAGTATCACAGATAGGAGCGTGCTCTCCAAGGAATCGAGGGAATCTCAAGGGTCTCTATACGATAGCTGGCACTTAGTGCTTTGCATTGTCGGTCCATGTGGAACGGATGAAAAAAAATGCTGCCATCCTCCTGTCGCCCTAAAAAGCTTTCTCCATAGTTTTTCTAGACACAAGGCGGGCAGAAGGTACACACTGCCTTGCACATTTGGCTCTAGGGGGGACCGCGAGGGGAGGTATACTCGGCCCGAATGGCAGACAGTGGGGACGTCACGAAGTTCGAGGAGGAAGACGTAAATAACACCACGCACAGATAGGCATTCCTTATAGCGCAAGTTAAGCCAGACTGCTTCAGACGCAACACTGCAGATGACTAGTTTGCCGTTGCACATAATCATCCTATTGCTATTTTATCGTTGCACAACTTAAGAAGTAGGCAACTGCGGAGCGAAATAAACCCTAGACAATCATATCAAGCAAATGTGCGGCAGCCTAGCCCGAGCCTGGATTAGTACTAGGGTGTACACTCCCAGCACACCCTAGTCCAAGCTCGTAATTCTGAACCGACCAGCCTTTTGATTTGCCCGGCCACACATACGCAGGCAAGGGGACCGCTCCCGAATGAAGTTACAAGGTCACCCTCCGACTCAGAACGCAGGAAAAAGCATATGAAGAAGAACACGCAACCTCACTCTATGGGCTCTCCGTCGGGAGAGTCAGACAAAGAGAGATCAAGGGGGACACACAAACGAGCTGATGGAGACAACGGAGCCTCAGAGTCAATCGCTGAGGAAGAGCCCCAAAATAAGCCCGCCAAAATAAAGAAGAAGAAGAAGAAATCAGCTGTTGTTATTGAGGACAGAGACGTATGCAGAGAAGAGCCAAGAACTAGTGCAGGGGCCACTGAGGCCCCCAAGCCACGCAAATCGACTCTCCTGCTCTGTGACAACGCAGCGGCGGTAGCCCTAGGAAATCTCGTGGCGATTCAGGTGCGTCACATTAGATGTAACGGTGCGAATTAGGCAAAGCATTTCAGGTGGGCAGTTCTTGTGCCGTGTGGCTTAATTCTGGAACGGTACTGGTCAAATGATATGTAATGGAAGGCTCACAGTTTGATACAATCTATACTGATGAAGGAATAGACAGATAGACTATATTCCTAGGGCTGCAAACCTTTCCATTAAGTGCAGTTCTTAGATAGAGAGTCTCCACCTGATCCTGGCATGCTTCTCCTCTCCCCGTTTCGCTGCACCACTTCCGTTAATTGGGATGCATTAATATGTGCCATTCTTCGCTTTTTACAGCAGGGGCTTATATCGAGTGTGGAGGGAAAAGACGAGGCGGACGGAATCGAGTGGGTAGAGGAGATGGACGACGAGGAAACAGAAAAGATTATAGGTCCAGCTACACTCCACAAAATCGCCCCTCTTCTTGTGCTAGTTCGTTTCTCCGTTCAAGTAATAATTGACGGACATTTGGCCACAGCAGAAGGACATCCATGAGGAACCACAACAAAGCGAATCCATGGCTGAGTTTCTGGTATTTCTAATGTTGCACTTTGGTCTTAATTTCGCTGTATACAGCCAAGTTAGATGCGTCAGAGCGGCGCATTGCAGAGCTGAGGAACGACCTGTTTGCCAGTACCACTAAACCCCTGGAAATTTACTTCGAAGAACTTGAAGTATGTGGCCATAAAACACCTAGTTGTAACCTCAAGGTGCTCGTTTATCCCCACAATACTGTTTGCTGTATGCAAGCAAATGTGGGAGGCCACAGCAAGCTTTCGCTCATAAAGAAGAGGTACCTCAGAGTGCCCATCTAACTAAATGACAGCATATTCAGCATGGAAGGGGAAAATCATGTGTCGGATTACTCTGAATGGTCGCGGCTCCTTCAGCATTTGACGCAAGGCGACGCACTCATTATTGGAGTTGCCAACGAGAATGACGTTCTAGCAATCGAACAAAAAGAAGCCCACGTCAAAATAGCCGCGTGCGTTGCAAGACAAAAAGAGTTGCAGGAGCAGCAACAGCGCCTGTTGTTGCATGAACAAGTTATTCGCAAGCGGATTTTGGAAGAAATCGAAAGGAAGGAGGCAAAGCTCAGGGTTCTTCAGCGACAGGCAGAAAAACAAGATCTTGCAAGACAGGTGCAACTTTTGAGCACCTGTTTGTCATAGCCCTTAAGCCTCTTGAAAAAGAAGCATTAAGCATCCTTTGATGCCCTTGATCCCACCTCTTGCTGCGGGCTGAGTGCAACCTTACCAGTACCTGTCTATCTTCGAACGTAAAGAAATTTAAGCAGGGACTTCAGCTGCGGTATATTTTCCCTAAAAGCCCAGGAAAACACGCCAGCGCTACTTTGTCTGCTACAGCAACTTTGTTAAACAAAATCAGCTCCAGCGCAAGCTTTAGTGGCCAGCCTGAAGCCTTCCTGTCGCGTTATTCCATTCTGGCAATCCAAACAGGGTGTACGTCAATGTGGGACACACTTTGAGCTTTATTCATGGTGCACTGCAGCTAAAGTGCGTGGTGTGTGCTTTTATACTGTGTCTACACACATGCTGCCACAGAATCACCTGGTAAAGTTGGTCAGGGAGTGTGAGTGCCGCATGGAGGCACGTATGGCACGGCGTGAAGCGCGACTCTCTGCTGTCTACGGCCTCTTGAAGAAGGACGGGGAATATAGTGCCGACATGACACAACCAGAAAAAGCCGCAATGTCCAAAAACCACAACTTTGTTCCCCTTGGTAGACTTTTAGCACGTTGAATGCACAATAATGAGAATCTGACGAAACCGCCCTTTCCCGTCTTGCGATGTGTGTGAACGTAGCCAGACTTCATCTATCTCCAAAAATATCTTCGCACTTTGTAGCAAACAGTGACAGCCGCTCTTGATAGAGGCTCTAACATCCATGCGTGACTACTTTTGTTTGAGTTTCGATGATACGTTTCGCTGTAGTGACCAGTTTTTTTCTGGGTATCCTATCACCGTCAGATACCACGTATCTTGCGGTGTTGAAGTTACAATGCACTGTGCATATAACTGCCGTTTGTGCTTAGGAAAGTTGTATCGCGTTGAGTGGCTACGAGCTCCGCAGCCAGTAAAAATGTCTATTGACTTTTGTCGTGGCCTTAAAGACAAAGTGCCCCCCGGCCGATACATCATGTCGGTCTCGATTTGGACGCGCATTGGTAGGTTAAGCGAGAAAGCTGGGATCCCTCGACAAATACTGCAGCACTACTCCAAATTTATCTTTAAAAAAGGAAATCGATAGTGTAATGATGCTTATTTTTGATAATGGCAGAATGGCCGTGTAACCCTTGCCTGCATCTCAAGAAAGGCATTTATGAGTATTGTTGAGAATGTAGATTGCTCACCCCACAAAGCTTCTTTTGCGCATCGCCGGCACTCGAAGACATGGCTGAAGCAAATAGGAGCAATTTTTTTTGAATGATGCGGGTGCTACGGGTCCCTCTGCACAGGCGGCACTCGGCTTCGCTGGAGCGGCCTCCAGTCAGTAGGGCAGAAAATGTTGCAGGAGGTGCTTGAGAAACGGAAAGATACCGCGTCCTTCTCGACTTTTTCAGAATCCACAGCAGATGAACAAGAAGTTATCTGTGCTGGAGGAACATCGGGAGTCACGACACCGATCGAATTCGGAGGGACATTTAAAGATGAATGCCTCAGGCAAGACCCTCATCACTTCGAAGTAGAAGCTTTAGTACTGCATTTGCTCCCGTCAAGCTGTAGCTACCAATCGCTGAAAGGGGGTTCTCAGCTGCAGAGTGATTTGATCCTCTGGACCCCTCCGTTTGTTCCTCCCCAATTCTATTTCCCCTTTGTTCTGCCTTCCTGTGGTTTTTCTATCCCTCTCCTTAGCCCTGTCTCAGTCTCTCTGCTTAGGAATACCACGCGAATGACCAGTCTTCATGGTCAAGTTCCCTACAACTAGCACCATGAGCTTTTGCGCGGCCGTTTAGGTTGGACGATACAATTGTATTGGTCTGCCCCTCGGAGATCGATGTACAGCCCGGAATGTGCTTTGTTTTTGAACTGTTTTTACTGCGGGGTCAACACTCTCCAGTCGACAAGGCAGGACCCACGAGCCCGATGCCTCAAACTATCCTACCCCTAATTTATGGACGATAACGTCGTCTGCAGCCTTAACATTGAGGCTTACGGCCGCAAGCTATGGCCAGGCAAATCACAGTAGTATGGCACACTAGTACAGTGAGGAGCGTGTGGCTTGTCTCGCAGGTCGTAGGTTGGGGCGCTTTTCCCTTAGTGGACTCGGACTTTCGGATTATTGAAGGAAGCTATAAGGTGTTGATACTCTTTGTCATGTTTCCTCCAGCCTGGAGCCAACTGCCAGCTTATGTTATGACTGCGCACGCCTAGAGGAGTCGTAAACCCCATATCTAGTATTTGCTGGGACAATCAGCTCTCAGGTTCTAGGTCTTCGTTCAGCGAACTTGCACGTTGGAGTCTTTGCTTACCTTTTATGACAGTATTTACCCCTGAAATACCAAAACCCTTATTGTGCAAAAGGATTTATACCGCACAACGCGTGCTGCTTTTTCAGGTTCCTCTACTGCGGGGGCCGGTAGATCCTTCGATTCGTCGCTATATTGATATAGAGCACACAATAGGAACCAGCCTCGACTGCTGGCTGTGCCACTTGTACTTCCGCTGTCAACTGCTGCCCAAGTACAGCAAAGGGCATATTGAGTTTGAACTTCAACTCGAGCACGCAGCAGCCCTGATCGGGGGAAGGAAAAACGACACTCATGGCAACAAGGCACAACAGCATCGTCAATTTTGGGGGGCGTCACTGGAGCGTGCGAAGGGTATAAAATGCTTAAAGTGCTTGTACCCAATAAATTTCATGGCATTTTGGACAAAAGGATAAAAAACGACCAAAATGTAATATAACTCAGGCGCACACATTGTGCTACAACGATCTATGTTGCCAAATGGCACGCTTGTTTTGTTGCTCGTACAGCTGACGACCTTTTACAACAACTTGTATGCGCCCTCCAGGCGTGCGAAGAAATGAAATCAGGTTTGTATTCTGCTGATCTGCGTTTTTCATATACTAGAAAAAGGCCGCTACTTTGCATCCTCAAGCAGACAAGGCATGGCACTGGCTTCACGAAACTGAAAACAATTCTAGTGATCGTGCACTTCTATTTGAAAGCTCGTGCAGACCCTGCACCCATCGTTTCCAAGGATGGAGTCCGTGCTTGGCGGCATAGGGAGTCGACTGAAACTCTAGAGTCCATCGCAGATCTCAACGCAGTTCCTAATTATAGGTATTCAGGTAGGCTCCCCATTCCAGGTCTATTTCCTTTTGCATAAGCAAATCGAGGTTTTTGTCACTTAACATGCATTTCTACAGTTGCCTATGGGCTACTTTGCTGGTTGGGGCACCTGCTCACTAGGTGGCGGCTCAATGTGAATGTGGGTAAGTTCTTGCCTCTTCTTGCGTTACGGTGCCTGTTATTTGTCAAGTCTACTGTGGCATGACATTGTCGCACCCCAGTGAGGCCTCGCGGAAGCTGAAGTACTTGAAAAGCTCCTTGTTAGACGACTTTAGACCATCTTTAGACACAAGAGAAAACTGTAAGACCCTCACTATAAGTTTTTTGAGCATGTGTGTGATGCCAAGACACTCTGAGGAGCGCCATTTTGTATACCAAATAGCCTAGGGTCGAGTAGCGAGGCAACTTGACTATGCCACTCCTGCCAGTGAACAGAAATTTTAACTCGCCAATGGTAATCATCAACAAAGGCACAAAACGAAGCAAAAGGCATCGCTCGTGCCGCAGACAATGCACGGAAACTGTTTACGCTAACGGGAGGGTAACCTAATGTGATAGCATCAGGATTTCCAAGCAAACTGTCGTATGCCCGCCTCTGTTCATGCACACTGCAGCAGAATGAACTTTGTAAACAGAGTTTACCATGATCTCAAAGAAAGAAATGCAGGCGAGCCATACACCGCAAACATGGTTCCTCGTGTCATTCACATGCATTTCAATGCTTCAGGCACACTAGCCGGCGCCCTACTATGCGTAGTCCTGGCCATTTGGTGCTGTAGTCTCGTTTTTGGTTCGGGAACATGGCTGTTTCTCCGCGCAATCCAGGTCCCAGTGTACGAAATCGAATTAAGTGCCTTTTACGTTCGACTTGAATTTGTCCAGGTATAGCTACAGACAGTGTCTGCAGTGCATATATTAAGGTTATGCACATGGCGAAAAAGCATACGTTTTGATCCTTTCACAAAGAGCTGGCTGGCTGAGCAATTTGATGACGGCGTGCAGAGACTGAAGAGCCTGCGGTCAACAGGCTATTCCTCGGACCTGTTGTGATTTCTCATATTATGATGTTCAGGATGTGCTGGCGCTCAGTCAGGTCATTGGCACATCAGTGGCTGGCCCGCTTGCGTGTTTCATTGTCTTTGTACTCGCCTCAGCAGTTTTGCACGTTGCGAATGTAACTCTGGGAAGACAGCCTTACCCAGGTAATCAGGATGCAGCATTTTTACAAAGGGCTCATCGGCAGTAAGACGAGCTTATGCAGCATGTATACAGAACTTTGAATCTATATATATTGCAGCACTGATTGTGCTTTCTGGTGTGACACAGTTTATCAATTTCTTAGTGCGTTGGGTGCCGCTACTGCCCTTAGCCCCATCCTCATGCTTACTATTGAGGCAATTAAAGGCGAATGGAGAGGTACTTCATTCATGCTGTTTAGCTACTACAAGCGAGATGTCAACAGCGGGACTTTCGGAGTCATTATAAAGCTGGTCATCGACTTGGTTTGCATGGGCCTGAGCACGCTTGTACGTAATTCGTGTGTAAATCTTTATGCGGCACACCACCCCCAGCCAAAACTAAGGTACAAGATGCTGTATTGTTCCTGTTTCCCGTTGATGAATACCTTCACGAATCCACGAGGGCCAATGATGGAGGGTGTATCTCTTTGAGGTATCCGCCATCGGCAGGCCTTCTACGGATATGCAATATGGATTCACCGTCAAGGGCAAGTGAGTGACACACATAGGAGGCTAACAGGGGATGATTCGCTGTTTCATTTGCCTCTGGACGTTGAAGTGTCGGAGAGATACTTGATGCGCTGCTGCGAGAACGCAAGCCAATATATAGGCTCCGGAGGGGAAATCCGAAGCCTTAGAATAACTCACTACCCAGGTAGGTCAATTAAAATATACCATTGATAGCTACAGAAGCATTGCATTGTATTTGACGAACAGCTCTCACACGCTGGATTCTTTAAGCTAACGCATATCACTCATGTGTCACTTTTCACTATGTTCTTCGCGTGGTGGGGGAGCTAGTTACGGAGGTCCAGGAAGCCCTTAACGTGACCACAACAGAGTGGAAATATCTGAGTGAAGGGAAAAAGCAGCATGACGCCGACCTTATAACTGAGCTGGCGATATACACCGTGAACTCTAAGGCAGGAACACAAGCACTGTACAGGAGATTCCTCAGGTGTGGTAGCTTCTCGCTGGACTTAGATGGAACAGAGAGGATAGGAAAGCTGCAGCCTTGTATCCTGGTCTTTAAAATGTGTCACTGAAGGACCAGTATATATTTGGTGCTTGGCGATGTGTCAGACTCCCCGACGGTACTATTGTTGAAGCTCTTGCGCACGACGCAGAAACAGAGCACCCAGCGGAAGAAACAGAGCCTCGTGCACTGGCTTCGCAACAGGACATCGCCGTGCCTTCTTTGTTGCACAGAGAAAACGTAGGGTATGATGCACTGCCACTTTAGTAGACATTAACTGAGTAATCCAGCAGCAAGCTGCAGTTTAGCGCGTACATTGAGGGGTACCACCGTTGGGCTCTGCTTATGCCTAATACTGTATAAGCTAAGGCGGACTCCTACAGATACAGGCATTTCCACAGCGTATTTCCAGTTTGCTCTCTTTCATTGATATGCCATCAATTCACAACCACGATGAACTACTAAGAGAAAGTTTTGGATATCACTACAGACTGAATCCAACAGGTTATAGTTTTTTTTCACCAATACGAATCACTTGTTTTTCTTCCTGAATTTTGTATTACCCCTAAGCCCTCTGAGCAGCCTTGTATTAAGAAACACTTGTGGGGTGGATGATTCAAAAAACTTAGCGCTTAGAAATATAAGGCTGCATACACATACATGTGTTAGAGAGGCCAAGTGTAAAAGGCTCGTAGCGACGACAGCATTGATGGAGGAGAGTTTTGGGGGATTTGTGATGGATAGAGAAGAGACGATACGACGCCCAGGGACATGCGTGGGATGTTGAGTTTCGCCATGTCACGAGGGATTTATCGATTTCCAACTATTCGAGGCCCGGGCCCACCAAGCACACGATACAGGAGCTATGTATTTACGGGATACGGTACGGCGTTAAATGGAAAAGCCAGCAAAGGCTTGCAATAGCCTGCCGGGCCATCAAACATGATGACCCTATAGTGAGTCTCAGCAATTTGTCAGCACAATCCTGGGCATTGCTTTCGGCTGCCTTCCTTGGCATACAATTTTTTGAGGAAGCGCCAGTGGTTTAGTTGGTTTCAAGTGCGGTGGAATTCTGCTGGCGAAGCTATTGAGAGATACTAAGGCGAGAACCCGACCCCAATGTAATGGCTATGTTATTTGGGTTCCTGCACTTTGCCACCATCTCCTTGCTACCAATAGCGTTCGAGATAGAGCAGCAATAGGATAGAATTTCGAAGGTGAATGTAGTTTTCAGCGAGCAGAAATAAAATTAGCCTTTTGCCTTTACAACCAGTGTCTAGAGTAAGAAGACCTTGCAAAGAAGCGTTTATGGGAATAGACACTCCACGGCCCATCTTAGACTCGGGTTGCAGCGGAGACCGACTAAAAGTCATGAATTTGAATGACACATCTAAACAGCTTTTCCCTGCCCTATTCGGCTATAGATGGCGAGAGCAGAATTTTAAGCCCCCGATTGAAGCAGCGAGAGAAAGGTACACTCCATACGGCTCGCAAAGCCACAATCGTCACCAGTTTGCAAAGGATTCGACCTTGACATAACGGCCTGGTTCGTGTGCTCTATGACAGCTGCTAACATTGAGCTGCTGACAAGCTTTAAGATCAGATGTTGTCTGCAGCTGTTTCGATCGCAGTGATTCGAAACCTTTACTCTATCCACTACCAATATTTGGGGAGTTGAAGGCTAAAATAAAGATCAATGCAATTCAAATCTCTAAGTATATACTGATCATGGCGTACCCTATGTTTTACCAATGTGTATGTTTAAAGTAAGACGAGCATCCCAAAGTGGAAAAATACCCAATGGAAGCAAAAGAAAACCATTTCAGTTTCAGGGGTACCACTTGTCTTGCTGTACTACCTTGTCTGTGAGACTCGACGGATGAGCTGGAATGCATGACAAACCAAAAATCTACGTCACTAATCAGGGACTATTCAGACTAAAAAGAGGCCGTAGACGATGCCTGTGTAGCAGAGAACGGTATGATCATAAACAAAAAACTTGAAAAACCAAGCGCTACTTTTCACTTGCTCCATGCACCAAGGATTGATTCAAAAAGCGCCTAAGCATCCTTTTACCAGGCGTGGGGGAATCCGGAATGCACATGGTTAGCAGGAGGCTTGGGACAGTTTTGCTGAACTTGAGTGCGACGAACAAGACAGCCGGCTTACCACGCAGCTGAATACTCTATTCACCAGACGCTACCACGACGCTTTTTTTCTGATAAACTGAACTCGTGAATGGACACAGTAACTGTGTGTAAGGCTAATTATACATACACTCCGGCACAGAAGGAGCTCTTCACAACAAGAATATATGATACGTGCCTGTCCATCCTGCTGCTCTGTGCGGATTAACAGGTACACATGAGTGAGTATCTAATCTATTCCCTGTCGTTGTTTGTGCACTTAGATGCATGACCATCTGCAATAAAAGCAGATAGAGGAAGGTTATGTGGCTATTAAAATGGCCTTTCTTGTATGCCTTTTAAAAGTACATAAGGTATGCCTTCAGTACCACATAGACCATTCCCAAATGCTTGCCAAAGCCCCTTCCCAGCGTCTTCCTCTAACAAGTGAAGAGTAAAGCTTTTGGCTACGAGTCATTCGTGCAACATTGTTAGTCAGGATGGCTCTTTTGTAGTGCATCATAGCCATAACCCCGAAATGCTTCTATTTCTTTTTCTAGTACCCAAGCCCGTCCAAATTGGCGACATCGTGTTCGAACTGCTTTTCAGGGAGTCATTGATAATCATTATAGGTGTCATACCCAGATCCCCTAGTAGAAAAACACCCTATGAAGAGGATACTCTGGGGAGCCATTATTTAAATGAAGTGATAGTTGGACATCCAGCCACAACGGCCCCGCTCCATTCTAGTTGGCTAGGCCTCACAGGAGTATGCATTACTGAGAGCTAATGCAGCCCAGAGCTAACGCAGCCTTACTACCTTCCATATAAACTTCATGTTTATCTGTACTTGTAGACCATTCTTTCCCTGTTTGTGTGTCGCTGCTGTGCATTTTGAACTAAACGAGGGATTCATCTTATCGAGATCCTGAAAGCACATAGGGTCCTGGTGAACGAGACTGGGGGGATCCTCATCAAGACGAGCTACGCTACATGCTCCTAAGGTGAGATATGCCTGTGAGGGTGTATAATGCATAAAAACATGGCATATTTGCTCAAAATCTGTGGATAAAGAAGAATATGGCACTCCCTCGACTTAACAATAAAAGGAGTAGAGGGTTGAGGGTCATATCTCCGAACTTTGGCGAGCTCTTCCACGTTTGCCATTTGAGGCATAACTTGCCGTTTGTACAGCTGCCATAGCCTATAAGTGAGTCTTTGGTCACAGTATACCTGTGCCAGACGTTACCATGTGTCGAAAGTGAGAGAGGGATTCCCTCTTCTGCCGCTGTACGCGAGAACTGTAGTGGCTGCTGCTTAACCGCTTTCCGCTTTGATTCCAGCATCTGCGGTGAATTTCGGTTCCCCGGTACGCCCTCTACTAGTGTATACAGAGAAGCTCAGCCAACTCCACTGCCCGCTGGCATGCCTTGTGGAGTGCTCCGTTGAAATGGTCGATGTGCCATCTCGCCACATCTCGCGGCAAGAGCTCTCGTTTTGCCACCTCTTGACTAGACGGTTTCCAATGTGTTCTTGCAAAGCAATGCCTGTTGGCTTTTGGCTTTGTAGCAGCAGCATCTGGGACAGCATGATGAAATGGATAAAGTGTGATGCTTGCCCGACCGTTAATAGATTCCACGGTGTACTGCTCCAAGATATTCGATAAACGAGTTTGTGTGAAGGCATCCAGTCCATACATGAAATCATCAGTCTCCAAGCTAAATTCTCTTTGATAAAGAGACGTCCAAGTATAATCTGGTAGCGATAAAAGGACTTCGTTGCCAAAGCGCTCAGTCACAAGTGACAAGCAATCAATTGCATTTTCTATGAAGATTTAAAGATAGAATGCGTTAAGTCTTGATTCATCCTCTAAAACGAGCACCTGCGTTCGGACAAGTATGATTTCTAACTAACGCAAAAGTGCCGCTTGCAGCTATGAGTTGCATTGTCTCCTTATAAGATTTTATACTGAAAGTTGTTTGCATGAATCACGGCATGTTTGGCTTAAGCTTATGGAAACCGGCAAAAGTAAGCTGGGTAGAAGCTAACCCTTTCATATTTTATTGTGGTAAACTATAAGGCCACAAATCACATGTTGGAGGCTCCTACGGCATCCTTGATTACCTCTGCTACTTCAAGGGAGCTACCTTTACTACAGTACCGTGGCTATCGCAGCTGAAGCCAATGACTGTCTTCGCAAATGTGGTATTCGGCTGTTTCGTAAAATGTGTCCTCACTGCAAATGAGCCACTCAAGCCTGCAACTTAGCATGCGTATGTACCAGCCTACATCTATTTACCCCTTCATAAAACTCGCTGTATCGTGTAGTCGTAGCATATTAACGCCATTGCACTTTCCTTGGAAAATGCACTTGTCAGGGAGTTGAGATTCCAGAACCCCTGAAAAAATATATCTCTGCTATGTCAAATAGCGTTCACGGCACACAGATGATTTGCTGTGCAGGTAGCACAGCTAAAAGTACTTGCGGATTTGGAAGAACCGTTCCGCAGTAATCGATTCTGGTTTTGCTGGCTTGCATGCTGCCGCACAGCAGCAAGGAAGAGAGTGGCTAGCTACACGATTAAGCGTTGTTCTTTTTCCGGAATAAAGAGAAAAGGGTCATCATGTTTCCTTAGATACGTCATCAGCTTATAGATCTGGTTGGTCCCAGTACTTAACGAGATTAAGGTTTTTTAACATATCTTGTTGCACATTGTCTGGCAGAACGCGCTTGTCGCCGCAAATTGGGGCGAACCGAATGTATCGCAGCATGGCAAAGTTCATTATTTGAGCCGCACAATTAAATATGCACAAGCAAATCATGGTCGAGTTGTGGAATAGGTTGTAGCCTTTTCGAATACTATCGTAGAAGCGTGACCGCGATTGAGTGTACCAAATGATGGACACCTCGACAACGTCAATGCAGAACATGAAAATGACCCTGAAGCGTCCAGTAGTGTCCTTGAAGAGACCGTACTGAAGCGCAAATGCAAAAAGTCTCAATCCCAACATCTGAGCTAGCAACAGAACCATTAAGTGGCAAGCGTAGCAGGTTATCGTTTAACTTCTTCGGCTAATAGAAGAGCACGTAGGGCCTGCATAAGCTAGCACACTAGACTATGCTAAAACCGACTACATGAAGGGGAAAGAGTCATTTATAAGTACTCGGATTTGTTTTGCAACATTTTTCAGGCATATATGGTACCGTATTACCTCTTGGAAAGATGGTAGAAGGCCAACGATGGTATTATAAGTGAATAGTTCAGTTATAATTAAAACTGATGAGGACATGATCTTCTGGAGCAGGCGTGGCCAGCATCTGTTGAAGATGAGGGACTGGATTTCCTTCACGACTTTCGAGAGCCATGCTGCATTGATGCGGCGAAAAACTGACTGGCTCGACGGGCGATGTGGCTCCTCGTTTCGTGCCAGTATCTGCGAGGCACTACGACTTTTGGGTGTCTTTGGCTTAGGTGGAACGTGCCGTATAATGCAACATTCATTAGCAAAGCTGTACCGCACTTCGAGTCCGTCGTACTTTGACCCTTCTTGTTTATCATTATCTGAAGTCTCAGTCATTCTGGCATGCAGTCGTTGCTTCCAGTGATCCACAGGGTGCTTGTAGCGGTTTAGACCTTTGCATCTCCACTGCCGCCAGTCGCGGCGTATGTTGAGCACCAAGTGGGTCCAAAGATCACTGAAGAGGCTACCGACGAAACCTTTTGTTTGTCTACCCTTTTCCGCCGCAACTGCCGAAATCGCCGCTGCCCAATCAGAAGCAGTGGGCTTGCGTCCTCCAGCATGTCTTAAGGTATTTCTAACAGATATGTGCTGTTCTCGTGGTTCTTTCCTTGGATCCTCATATACATTTTGACTATAGCGTTGTCTCTGCTCGTTCATCCCAAAAATTACTTCCGTTCGCCATACGGTTGTCGCCAAGAATTTGGTCAATAAGAAAGGTCTAACTATGACTACTTGGAAAAACTTGAACAAAAAGTGCTTGACTTTACCCCATGAAGTCCGTTCCTCAGTGGTTGCGCCTTCAATGACAATCAACACCCTCCTCTCCATAAAAGAATATCCAAAGTGCCAGTACGAGAAAGAAAAATCTTTCAAAACCATAAGGAGATACAGCCAAATACTAGAAGATTTCAGTAGCACTGTGCGGATGAGGAGATATCTCCATGCGTCCCAGACAATTGCCAGCCAGCATAAAATTTTATCAAACTCGAGGGGATCAGGCCCATCTGGGCGAATCGGAACGTACGGCCGGCTAGGAGGTATATACTCAACTGGAGCTACAATAGGGGCAAGTATTCGGCTTCGCCGCGTTGCAGAGGCAAATGTTGAAGCTTTAGATCCTAGCCTTGTGCCTCGGCTTTGTGTTTCGAAAGTGGTGGCCCCCTGTTGGAGGAATGTACTAGAATTCCAGTCTAAACTTGTGCGTTGATTTGCTTCTCCGTCAAACCCATTATTGCCATTCCCGGAATTAGATTGTGCGATATTAGACGTATCAGGAGGTCCGATTCGCCCAAGGCCTGTTCCGGCAGTACAGTCTGTCGGGCCACCCTGTAGGAGGTCGCTATTTGAAGGGCCCTCCAATTCTAAGAGAACACGCACCCCATCTTCGCTCTCTTGCGAGATTTCTTCAGGTGGCTCCTCTTCAGAAGGTAATTCACGGCCCGTTTGGTATGACACGTTGTAGCCAAATTCAGCAAAGATAATTGTGGCCTTATGTGTTGCAGGGAGAAAAATGGAACCATAAAAGTTTGCGAGTGCTAATTCCCCAAAAAACGAAATTACAGCACTAAGCCCCAGTTGGGCGAACTTATGTTGCATGGTTTCAAAGAAGGGCAAGAATACAGTTCGATTGAACACATCAACCCCAAAAAATACAACTCCAGGGATGTGAAAAATCAGTGCACGCCTTGCCTGATCTCTGGTTTTCGCAAGATACAGGCCCAAAGGAAGGAGAAGTATTGATCCAAAAATAAATGCTGCATACAATGGCCACGTAAAAGAATTTAAAAATGGGAAAACTTTGCGGAACCTTGGAAACGTTTGAACGTGATAAGGAGCAGCGTTGACAATGAATTCTACGATGAAATAGCCAGCATATCCTGACAGTTCCCTCCAACGCCCTGCACTTCTACCTCCGAGTGTCCATACTTTGACGTACAGGACGTATGTGACATGTAGTGCAAATTCATTAACTAAATACATATAGCATATGTTTTCGACCCGAGCGTATGCCTGCGGGGGGTCAATACAACTCGGATCTGTTTTTTCTCCATTAGCATCAAGTGCACAGGGTTTCGGTGGCTCATAATCGGGTACTGGATAGCCTAGATCATCCAGAGGGCAGTCCTCGTAAGTTACAACCCACAACGCAAGAATAGGGTGCAGTATGCTCACGAGCATGCCCAATAGATAGCAAAAGCGGCGATCCATATTACTAATTCTTGTGGAAATGTTTCCCAAGAACCCATTTATATATTTTGTTCGAAGTCCTGTTTTTTTAAGATTTTCGCTTTCATTTTCTAGCACCGCTGTAGTTGGCAGTGTCTTAGCACTAACGCCATCGTGCAGGCCGGCCGATACAACTAAGGGCACGGCCGAGTCGGCCCTCTCCACTTCGGCAGCGGTACTAGAAAAATTCGTTCCAGTATCTTCCACTTTCGGAGTCACACTAGGCCCCCCGACCCCTTCCATTTCTTCCATCCTTCCGTGGTTCCCCTGGGTTTTGCTTCGCACGGCTGTCCGGCAAGCAGGTGCTCATTGCTCCGTCACGTGTTACTGCCTGAATGCGGTAGTTCCACCGCAAGGCTTCTCGTGGCAGGAAACGAAGTAAGTTGCTGTGCAGAGATCAATACACGCGCCTGCTGCACCCTATATGCGACCACAGTAGTGCACTACATTTACCCCTTGCCCTCGTCTTTGTAGGAGTAACCACGATGCAAGTTTTTGAGATACCATAACTCTACTTGCTGCATAGCTGTTATTCAAAACTAGGGGCCCCTTACTCAGATATGCATGCTTGTTTGGTAGGTCAGCCCCCTACCCTGTAGATGCATGTATGCCTCTCAGACCCAGCCCCGCGAGCTGACAATGCTGCTTCCTTGAGGCCCCCGCGATTGGTTGAGCAAATGTTTGAAAGCAAGACACATTCAAGTAGCATACCCTACTCTCATTCATAAGAGCGCACAGTCACATCTAGAAGAGCAATAAGTTGTAGCTCGCCGGAGCGTGCATGGCTTGTAGTGTGGGAGACGAACTACGCAACATCTTCACTCAGTCTTTCTACTTTTTCCCCATAAATAAAACTGAAAAATAGCTTCTTACAGGTTTCATTTAGCCTAGCTTGCTTTACAGAGGTGGATGCAGCAAAAACATGGGCGATCACTTGTCCAAAACATTGAGCTGGTTTTGGAATGGCATTAGGTCTCCTATTATTCTTAATCCTCAACCGTTCTTTCCCGTCTACACAGAAATTTACCTAGGCAAAATGTAGTTAATGCGCGTAGAAAGAGTGGCGGGGCTGTGTTCCTCAAGCCTTGAATCACCGAGGAACTGGCGTGGGTTCAATGATACATGCCACTAGATTTGATATAGCACTTTATGTTGAAAAGAAACTGGCTTGAAAATAGACATCCGCTTGTACTTCTATATTCCCCCTTGGATAAGCGCTCTAAAATCCCAGTATATCAACCGCCGCAATAGGCTGGTAGCTGCGTGGCTGAGGCCGCCTCTGAGCGACAACCATTCGTATTTCTTGAATGTCTTCTGAAGTCTCCTTTAGCTTTTCCTCTTCCGAAGCTTATGGAAGTGCTATCAGTAGGACATCGACGTGCACATACGAAGTTGCTGAGTGAAAACCTATCCATCTAGAACTTTCCCTCCCCACTCGGAAGCCGCATTACTTGCCGTTCTAAAGTATTTGCCATGTCTCCTCATGGGTTGGCAATCTTGATATGGCCTACTAAGCGTAAGGCACAACAGATGATTTGGTGCTTGATTCTAGTACGTGAGTATGTGCTGCATAGCTTGTGGCTTCGCTAAGGCAGCAGTCCTGCCATGCAAAGTGGCTACAAAGCTTGCCACAAAAGGATGTGAGGGCGCCGTAAAAGTAGCGGGAAAGCTTTTAAAGGCTTTTGGTCACTGTGGACGGAAAACATGCAAACACTGCAGCAAATGTACTGTACACGCTGGGAAGCTTTTGGGGACCGGATTGGCGAGGCTATGCAAAACTGGGATGTTCCGCTGCACGTGCTTTTGCAAAGGTTTTAAGGCTAGGCAACCGAAATGTCATAATCGAGTACGATGTTGGCATGGCGAACTTGGTAAGCTATTTGGGAAAACCTGCCGCCCTTACTGTACTGAGTGCTGCTTCATGAGGACAAAAAAAACGCGCACCGTCAACGGCGAATCAAAAGTACTCTGTAAGGTCTGCCTACCAGGAAAGCAAAAATGCTCACACATGCAGTTGAGCAAAGCAACGGCGGCTACTTACTCGGGAAGAATCAGGAAGAGCCAAGGACGGGATCGGGACAAACGAAGTGGAAACTCAAAGGGTGATACGAAAGGAAATAGAGCCACAGGGTACCTGATTCAGTCGCAGCACACCGGGGCAACGCTCGCACAACAAACAATTAAACGGCAGGCTGAAAGCCTTTGGGCCGAACAAAACAAGCCAAAGGAAAGCAAGCGATTTCACAATTACAATACTACTGTCCAAAAGCGTGGTGGGCACGCAGGCCGAAGAAGTAAAGCACCAAATGATCTCAAATACTCTAATGTGCATTGCTCCAGTAAGGAGACACACAAAGGTAGGAGGAAAGAGCTTAGAGGGGAGCCAAAAAGCAGCGTCACACACTACCCTCAAAAAATCAGTAAGGAAAGTCTGAGAGACAGCAGAGAAAATTTGAAGGCGGACGCACGCAGGATAACGCATACAGTGCCTCTTGCAGACGCGAAAACAACCTGGAAGAAACTGACTAACTCTGAAGGACAGCAAGCAAATCATCCGTCCGCTCAAGCAAAACCACATCAGCAACAGCTTTTAAACGGAGCTGACAGGCCTGACTCATCATTGTACACTAATAGCAGAGCTAGCAAAGGTAATCGTGGTGACTCAAATCATAAAACAGACATATAGGAGCCCTCGAAAGTGTTGAAAGTGCTAAGTGCGTTGAAAGAGCGGCTAGCGGTGAGACAGTTGCCTCATAAAGACACTGGATCGCCGCTTGCAAATAGGATTCATATTTTAGAATCTAATCAATAGCACCTAAGCATTAAAACAGTAGGGTTTACACATTTCTGTCCCCTCCAGAATACCACAGCTAAACAGAATACCACAGCTGAATGCACACTTGTTGCAGTTTTCTGGTGGTGTAGCGTGTGTCTGTTAACCGTCGCAGATGCATACTTGGTGAAGAGCGACATTCGAGAAGATGGCACCAAACACAGCCAATATGCACACAGGCCCAAGGAACTAGGTAGGAAAGGCAAAAATTGGTCCAGGCCTTATGATCTTAAATCCATACCACAGCAGGAAGAAAGTGTAGTTCCGACGAAGTGTACACCCGACAGGTCTCAGCCAATGTTGGTACAGAAGCAAGCCCCACAAGCTTTGAAACCGTTTGCTTGCGAGACAGAAAACAAAGCACAGATGCCTCTTTCACATGGGAGACAAACAAAAACATTGCTCGCGGAAAAAGTACGCAGACAGACACGCATTGCTGATAAGGGCAAAGTCTCTTTAGCTTACTCTCACAAGAGAGAACATCAGCTATTGGCGTACGCCCGAGGCGAAGGGCAAGGAGCGGACTGGCGGAACAGTATGACTGCTCCAGCGCAGTCTATGAGACAGGCTACTGACCGATTCCGACAAGGATCCTCTCGTAGAGACACCCGCCAAAAGCAGCTGTACCAATGTTCACCAGCAGTGGCACCTACGAAACATGAATGTTACCCTGGACTGCCAGCTACAACCAACAAAGTCCAAAACCCAGGACAAGCAAATGAAAAAGCTACACTAATGCGTGTCACTGGTGACAGAACGTCAGAGTATGGCATTGAAAGAGAAGGCGGCAGATGGTTACCCAGGCGCGAGGTACAACCACCAGAAGGAAACGTGCTCATAGGAATAGAATGCCGCATTTTAGCCGAAATCGCCTACCCACTAGAAGGCGATAACACACCTTAAATAGAGATTTTTTGGTCTGACTTTTGCATCGGCCACCAATGCTGGACAAGTTTTTACTCTTGCCGTCAAGCACCCGCTAGCTTCCACTATCTACTTTTCCGTCCACATAGAAGTAGGCTTTCCCAACTCACAGCAAAAGCTACAATTTGATGCTCAGAGTTCAAAAACTCATGGCTAAATTAGTCGTTGATATTGTTAGAATTGATGGGCATGCCTTATTGGGAGAATGTTTGTTCATTCGGGCAAGTGACCGTTGGGGAGGCCGAAAGTTTTGTTGCTTATTACTACATGCACCCTCAGCCACCTCCACCCTAAAATAAATGACACAGATTACAGACGAACAAGGTCTCAGTACGGCACCGATATATCGCAGGACGCACCTGCTGGGGACCAGGATTTTGGTGAACGCACCTGTAGCCCACTGGCAAAGCAGGGTCGGTGCCTGTTGGCGTATGTAAGCTCAAGAGGTGCCACTTCTTGCAGAGCCTAGGCGTATCCAGTTCTGCTCTACTCAACAAAGACCATTAGCTTCATCGAATACAGCTGCAGCCCCGAGAGAGAGAGAGAGAGAGGGAGAGAGAGAGAGAGAGAGAGAGAGAGAGAGAGAGAGAGAGAGAGAGAGAGAGAGAGAGAGAGAGAGAGACAGAGAGAGAGAGAGAGAGACAGAGAGAGAGAGAGAGACAGAGAGAGAGAGAGACAGAGAGAGAGAGAGACAGAGAGAGAGAGGGAGAGAGAGACAGAGACAGAGAGGGAGAGAGAGAGATAGAGATAGAGAGAGACAGAGACACAGAGAGACAGAGACACAGAGACACAGAGAGACACAGAGAGCAAAAGACAGAGAGAAACACAGACAGAGGGCTCTACCTCACACCGAGTCGTGCACGACTGACACCTGCGGCTTCCACCTGCCTCCAGCGGATAGCGAATTCTAATTCACAACAACAAAGATGCACCCATACCTGAAGAACGGAGGGGTAAGGCGTCGGATTTAAAAGCGCTAGGACAGACTCCACCTTGCGGGCTGCTACATGTGCCCTTCGCACCAATGCTGGTAGTTCGAGGACTGCCTAGGATTGTTGCGCGTCTACGAGATCCCCGCACGGAAGCAACACCATCTGACACTGCGCCACTCTCCCCAACAGCCGGAGATTGAGATTCTGAGGCGTAATCGTCACTTCGAGCTGCAGCCGTTGCTGCTGCTGCCTCGCTCGTGCACCCAGCCTCCTCGGAAGTCGCAGCAGCAGCTGCGGCAGCTGCTGCGCCAAGTGAAGTTCCCCAATCTGAGAAATTACACGACGAGCACGATGAATTCGCGGTAGCCGTCTGCGGCTTCTGTTGGGTGTCGTCGCTCCTGTGATGCACCAACACAAAAGCCCCTCAAACGGCCCCTAATCAACACACACAATCTAGATATATATTTATTTATACATAGACGGCAACACATTGTCAGAGGCTACACCTCATCCAGCATGCCCTTTGAATCTGCAAGGATCTAGCTCGCTGTGCTGCTCCTAGCGAGCTGAACTTGCTGGGACGTGGAAAGCAGTAATTCAAGAGCCATAAAGATGTATGTATCTATTTATACGTGTACGTGTATATATATATATATATCTGTGCATATGTGTAAGTGTGTGTGTATATATGCATGTATCTATGTGCATGTGTAAGTGTGTGTGTATGTATGCATATATGTATCTGCGTATATGTGTAACTATGCATGGATGTATGTGAATATTTATATATATTTAGGCGTATATAGACCTGAAAAAGGTCACGTCTCTGAGAACTTTGCGTATGAGACGGCTAACTACTGGTACGGCAAGGCGCATCTTTTCCTCGCTGCTGTGTGCAAACGCGAAGGCAGCCACGGCCTCCTGCAGCTCCTTTATGCGGTTGTGGATATTAATAGCTGTCTGTACGGCTGAAGTCGCAGCAGCAGACGGCACATGGTGCAGTGGTGCTTGCAGCAGCAGCGCAAAAGCGCCTCCGCAGTGACGAGCATAAACTGGGAGCTGCAGGAAAGCCCCGAAAGGCACAGCCATAGAGCCGAAGAAGAAATTTCAAAAAGCTTGTGCATGCGCTGCCGCGAGAAAGCCTCACCGTCCCGCGAAAGGAGGTAACAGTGGTGTATCAGCTCGTAGCGAACCATGTCGAGGATGTCGGATATTTTGCTGCTGTCGAACATCCCGCCCTTATGCCTGAATTTCAGGAAAAAGAGGAAACAACAGCCAAAAAGCAACACTGCGAATAGGAAGAAGAGGGGGATAAGTAGTACCCTGCTTCTAACGTTGGCTGATAACACGCCGCTTTTGCATATTTTAACCCTTTCTGGACGTCTCAGATGAAGCGAGTCGCCTGTCGGTGGTGTCTTTGTCCGCAAAACTACGCATTTTATGGAGAACATCACGGAAACCGTTTAGTCAAGAGAGTTGTTTCTGCCGTCAACGATTCGGCCTTTACTGCCTCTGACTCCAACGACCTCCACGCCTTCCGCAAACGCTCTCCTATCTTCAATCTTCCTCCCCTCCTCCTCCCCCCTCCCCCTAAGGAAGCCGCATGCTGCTGCGACGCAGGCGCTCACCAGTCTGCCGCAATTTTTTCCCATCTGCTTTTCATGCCAGCGAGCTTTGAAGCGGCAACCTGCTTTTGGGAAGGCTGTACAGAGAGGGGCGTTTGCATGCCATCTGCATCTCCGCTATTGGCCTCTTCTATAAGGGGATCCAACAACTCCAGAAAGACCTTCAGCAGAGAGAGGATCTACAGCACAGCAGCACGCGCGAGACACGAAAAGCACGCAGCTGCGCAAGAGCTGCCCTGCGTGTTTCTCCTGCCAATTCCTAAAGAATGCCGCCTAGGTACACCACGGAAAAAGCTGCTCCACGAACTCCACAAAGGAGGGCAGCCAAGGAGACAGCGTTGATCTGCAGTGCGCCTAGAATGCAAGCCACCCTCCACATTGCCGCGGCAAAAATCGATCGACGTATGTGCCTTTTTCAAGAAATCAGGGCAGTGTGTGCTGTTGCCTGCGTCTGACCTCCTTTTGCCGATCTTGAGGAGACTGAAGGCGCTCTAAGGCCTCTAACTGCTTGGGAATGAGATCCAGTTCCGATTCTGAGCAGTTCTGGAGGAGACGCTCCGCAAAACATGGGATATATTCGTCCGCCGCTCGCAGATGAGACGCTGCAAGAGATGTTAGCTCCGTCTTCGACGCTTTTTCCGCTTTTTCCGACTGTCCTCCCACGCCATCTGCAGCAGGGGCCGTTGCTGCTGGAGGTGATGCAAGCAAACTCTTCTGCCGCTGTATGAGCTGCAGCACGCGCTGCTTCAGGGAACCGAGCTGCTCATCATTCAGGTTCAACAAAAAGTCTAGACACTGCTTCAGCATCTGCGTGCAACAACAGCACTACATGCAGCAAGGGTGGAGTAGTCCACTGCAAGCGGCGAGAGACCCTCTCCACTCCACGCGCAGGATCGCTGCGAGAGAGCCGGCAGTGCAAGTGCTGATACTTCCGTCACCCTTAGCATCAATCGAACACTGCCTCTGCACTGATCAGACTCGTCATGCTGCTGCGTGTTAAAGGCATCATACAAACACTGCCTCTGCACTGATCAGACTCGTCATGCTGCTGCGTGTTAAAGGCATCATACAAACACTGCCTCTGCACTGATCAGACTCGTCATGCTGCTGCGTGGAAAGGCATCATACAAACACTGCCTCTGCACTGATCAGACTCGTCATGCTGCTGCGTGGAAAGGCATCAATCAAACACTGCCTCTGCACTGATCAGACTCGTCATGCTGCTGCGTGGAAAGGCGCCAATCAAACACTGCCTTTGCATCGGAAAAAAAGCACGTTCCTGGGCTTCCCCAAAAGCAGCACACCATATTTCGGGATGCATGCACGGTATGTTCACGAAAGCGGTTGTGGCGATACGGGAAAAGGGAAGGAAAGTCGAAGGCGAATTACCCTCTTTTCGCTCGCGCACTGAGAACCTTCGTCGAGAAGGTCGTATGCCTTGCGGTTGTGTATGACGAGGGCTACAAGGATGGGAGTCAGCTCGCCTTCAAGATCCAAGAAGCCTTTGGTGAAGGCTGCAGAAGTAATCTGGCATCTGCAGACACAGGCATGCTCGCAGAAGAGGCCTGAAGTGGACAAGAAGGCTGCAAACGTCGCGCACTGAGAGAGCGCCTCAAGAGAGGCGTCAGCTCAAGCACAAGGTGCAAGCAAAAAAAACCAGGGAAAGGGAGGGAGAAAGAAAGAAACACACACACACACCTCCCTTCGTCACTTGTATATATTTTAAAGTCGTGACGGAAGGTGCTGTGCAGCCGCAGAAGACCTGCACTGTCTCCTGCAGCGCCATGCACACAAAAAAAAACACACACACACATACACACATAAACACACATACACATATACATAAACACACAAACACACACACATACACATAAACACACATAAATCATACACACATAAACACACATACACATGCACACAAACATACACACATAAACACACATAAACACACAAACACACACATAAAACACACATACACATGCACACAAACATACACACACAAACACACATACACACATAAACACACATACACATATACGTAAACACACAAACACACACACATACACATAAACACACATAAATACATACACATAAACACACATACACACGCACACAAACATACACACATAAACACACATGAACACACAAACACACACATAAACACACATACACATGCACACAAACATACACACATACACACACAAAAACATATACGTAAACACACAAACACACACATATACACACACACATACCCATTCAGGTGTCATATTGTTGTGTCTGTGCGATTTTTTCTGGAAATGCCTCTCGCTCATGGTGTGAAACCGCGTTTGCCATCAGGAGGGAGGCGTTCTAACTCCCTCAAGCCTTGTTGCTGCGGCTGCATAGAAATTGCCGCTGGAAGACGTGTCGCAGCACACGAGAGAGAGAGAAAGACGCACCAGGGTAAAGTTGATAGCGGAACCGCTGCCCCAAGTCTTCCGCCTGTTTTCTCCCGATGGCAGTGAGTTCGCCTCCCCACTTTGCAACAACCACGCAGCTCTCCAAGCAAGCGTTGTTTGGTGCAGGTGGATTGCCACTTCCCCAGTTCGCACTGCTGCTGGTGTGAGTGCCGGCTGGACTTGTTGTCTGCTTTGTTGGAGAGACCGTGCGAGGCGGGGAAGCGTTGCAAGCAGCGCCTACGAATTCGTGAGCTTTTTGTTGCCAACTCTCGGCAGCTGCCGCTGCCGCCGCAGCGGCAGCAGCTCCTGCAGCAACTCCTGCGGGCATGTCTGCAGACAGAGATCCACCGACAATGCCATGGGGAGCTGCTGCCTCGACGGCAACGAGTGGGAAGGAGGAGGCAGCAGCAGCGGGGGAAGAGAGCATGCAGAGAGGCGGGGAGGTCAGCAGAGGCACACTGCACGTGCGAAGAACACTCGGGGTGGATCCCGAGGCTGCACTCAACACCATCGCCGATCCTTGTCTGCCGAATTCGATCTGCTGGAGCTGATCAGACACCTGAGGCATCGACCCCCCACCGACCATCACCGTCTCCTCCTGCTGCTGCTGGGCGGAAAAGGCAGCGTCTTTCAAGGGTGCCGTCGAACAAGGCACCGACGATTGCGTGTCTGGCTGGTGCCCTCGACCCCACCGCTTCGGCTTCAGCTGAATCTTGCGATTGATCCCCGCAAATCCGTCCCCTTGCAAGAGCACCTTCTGCAGCTGCTTATGCAGTCTCAGCTCTGCCTTGAGAGCTTCCAAGTTCCCCTGCCGTTCGACCGCACCGACGCTGCTCTCACGCTGCTGCGCACTAGAGGCATCGCCGCCTTCGAACGGGAAAGGCGGCTTTTTCTCCGTTTGCTGCTCCTGCGTGGCCACTGCTACTTGCCGCCCCTACACAGGCAAACGCAAGACGCACAGCCAAAAGGGCACCCTAGCTTGCAGATGCAGGCACTGAAGACTCTTACGGAGACACGTTCATCAAGCTTTGAGCGCGAAGCACGCAATAATTTCACATAGAGCTAAGTTCTGGCGCAAGTTCGATGCCCAACAAGTACGCTACGCCGCAACTCAATTCAAGAAACAGGCTCCCATTCGCCAACAGATACCCGTGCTTTTGTGCGTGGCACACACAAACACAGAAAAAGAAGCCACCAGAATTTACAACGCTCCCTTCTGCCTTTTAATTATTCCTCCCCTTCTGCCTTTTTATTCCCTCCGCAGCGCAAAGAGCACCGCCCCTTTCCCCCTCCCTCTGCCTCCCGAGAACAAGCGGCAATTCGGAAAAACGTAGCCACGCACCAGTGCAGTTATGATATCCGTGTTTCTGTCCAGGAGATCACGAAGCTCTTCAGGGCTCTTCAGCTTCAGCTCCTTTTTGCTGGCTTGCTTGCTGAAGTACTGCAGGAGGAGAGGCTGCGTGGAAAGGAATTTCAGCTTCTGCTTAGGGCGTCTATCGCCATGCCGCATGACCACCACGACGGTTCTCAGCTCCTCCTCAGTGCCGTCGCCTTCCTCCTCGCTTTCCAATGCCATGCAGAGACACCTGGGAATACGCGAGGCAGCGCTTTCGCCGCTGGCATCTCCCCCCAGAGAAGGCGGCAAAGCCTCCGTCGCATGGCCAGGAGGTATCCAAAAGAGCTCGGGAAGGGCTGAGGAGCCGTGAGGGCAGCGCCGCTGCTGCTGCGCGAGGTACTGCTCGAGGTTCTGCTGTCTTTGCCGCAAGGCAGCAGCCGCTCCGGAGGTTGCTGCGTGGAGAGCGTTCCGCGCGCAGCGGTCCGCAAGCTTCTTGAGGAAATACAGACGAATGATGCTGCTGCAGTCATCGTAGTACTTGATGTTCGACTTGACGAAGGAGAAGCCATTCACGTCGCACACGAATGGACCGCGGCTAGTCCTCAGAATGTCGAATCTACAAGCAGCAACAGAGAGCCGAGCAGCGACGCATCCAGCTGTGTGTCACAGATCACACCCAAGAAGGGAGCGACGGCAGCGAGAGTACACGCTAGGGCAGAGATGCCACGAAGTATGGCTTTCTTCTGCTGCCCTTCCCCCTATCCGCGCTTCCGAGATTGAAAGAAAAAAAGATATAATATAGAAGCAAAGAGAGAGAGAGAGAGAGAGAGAGAGAGAGAGAGAGAGAGAGAGAGAGAAAGAGAGAGAGAGAGAGAGAGAGAGGGAGAGAGAGAGAGAGAGAGAGAGAGAGAGAGAAAGAGAGAGAGAGAGAAACAGAGAGAGAGAGAGAGACAGGGAGAGAGAGAGAAACAGGGAGAGGGAAGGAGAGAGAGAAAAAAATCGTCACTACGATGGCGGAGAGAGACGCATGGCAGAGTGGCATCGTGGCTCTGGAGCTCTGAGTCGCAGAGACGGCTTTCGACTCCCATCTCAGGAGGGCAGAACCTCAAAAGCCATTATTTCCAGAAAGCGAGAAAGAGAGGGCAATGAGGATTCTTCGACTGCTCGAGTGAAGACGGAGCCTGAAGACACTCCACGGCCTCTGCGCTCTGCGGAACGCCGACGTCGGAATCGCAGCAGCAGCAGCAGCAGCAGCAGCAGCAGCAGCAGTAACAGCAGCAAGAGTACTGCAGCAAACCGCCGCGTGAGTTCTCGCCGTCGTGGGAAGGGGGGGGGGAGCGATTCACGTATGGCAGCAGGAAGAACGTTTCAAAGAGCACTTGAGGCTGCTCGTGATGATGGCCGTCCGCGCAAACAGCAGCCTCCTTACAGCCGCAGCAGTCGGCGTAGGAGCAGCAGCAGTAACAGACAGGAAGGCAGAGGCAGAGCAGAGGGGGGGGGAGGTGGAGGGGAGGGAGCGAGGAAGGGGGTCAAGAGGGAACCCGATGGATCTACGCTTGATGAAGCGCCTCCCGCTGTTGATAAGGACATGGAAGCGTATGCTGCAAGGAAAATAAAAAAGGTTACGGCGGAAGACATTGGCAGGGCAGGTAAGAAGGGGTTCGCGTGCAAGGAAACGTCTATCGCGAGGGCATCATGTGTGTATGGATGTGTATGTGTGTGTGCTTGTGTGTGTATGTATGTGTATGTGTGTGTATCTGTATATGTGCATGTGTGTATGGATGTGTATGTGTGTGTAGATATGTGCATTTGTGTATATACGTGTATGTATATGTGTATATAGGTGTATGTGTGTGTATCTGTATATGTGCATGTGTGTACATAGGTGTATGTGTGTGTACATATGTGCATGTGTGTATATAGGTGTATGTGTGTGTATGTGTGTACCTCTGTATGCGTGTATATATGTGCATGTGTGTATATATGTGTACGTTTGTATGTGTGTATCTGTATATGTGTATGTGTGTATATAGGTGTATGTGTGTGTACATATGTGCATGTGTGTATATAGGTGTATGTGTGTGTATGTGTGTACCTCTGTATGCGTGTATGTGTGTGTATGTGCATGTATCTGTGCATGTGTGTATCTGTATGTATATGTGTGTGTATCTGTATGTATATGTGTGTGTATCTGTGCATGTGTGTATGTGAATATAGTTTGTCTTCGAAGTGTGTATGGGTGGCGTGCTCTGTTTTGTGCGGAGATGGAGGACGCAGAAAGCGTGTGCTGTGGTGTGCCTCTCTTTCTGAGTAGATGAATTTGGTTGATATTCGCGGCCATAGGGGCGCTGCCTTGTTTCGATGTATGCGTTTGTTGGTGTGTGTGTGTGTTTCTTGATGTATTTGAATTCGCCGATGGAGGCGGGTTCGGGTGTGCGTACTACCGCAGCTGGCTGTGCCTCTGCAGGATCTGCCTTTTTTCGCGCAGACGGAGATCGCTTTGTTTGTCTTTGCTCATAAATAAAGCAGGAAATCGGTGGGGATGCGCAAGACGGTGTGCCCTGCGCGTTTCTGCAGGCGGGGTGTACGTACCGCCGTTCAAGTTGGCGAGGCTGCAGCAGAAAACGGACGATACCAAGAGTACAGCTTACCAGCGTCAAATGTGGGAAGCGCTCAGAAAAAGTATTAATGGGCTCGTCAACAAAGTGAATATTTCAAATATCACGCAACTCGTTCAGGTAAACATAGCCGCGCTGCCGCGTTTGCTCCCGGAGTGGTTGCAGATGCCATGATGAAAACATGCGCATGGTCCGTCAACCCCGCCATCGATGGAGGCCTCTATTGTTGGTGGTTTTTTTCGGCTGCGTTTTTTTTGAAATCGCCGTGTGCGCCTCTTTCCCAACATGTGCGTGAAGGGGGGAGGGGGAGTCAGTTGCGTCTCTGTCGCCAAGCTGCGAGCTTGCGCGTGTGTGTGAGGGTGTCTTGAAATTCTCCACCTGGTGGAGACTCGTCTGCGTTCGCCTGGCATCGTGCGCAGGAGCTTTTCCGAGAAAATCTCGTGCGTGGGCGGGGCCTCTTCTGCCGTGCCATTATTCGAGCGCAACTCGCAAGCCCAGGATTTACGGCGGTGTATGCGGCGCTGCTCTGCATTGTCAACAGCAAACTGCCGGATATTGGCGAGCTCGTCATCAAGCGTGTCATTCTGCAGTTCCGGTGAGCTGGGAGACGGATAGGCGACCCCTGGCAGCTGTTCAGGGGAGAAAGGAGGAAGGGGAAAGAAGGGAGGCTTTTTGGTGTGTCATACTCACCCCCCCGCTACCTTTGTGCGCTGCCCGGTGCTCCGTGCAACTGGTGCGCCTCTGCGTGCGGCGATCATCAAGCTCGCATTTTTTGTGGGTGGGCAGTGTAATCTTCTCCCTTGCGCTGCCGCGTATGGATGCTCTTCATTGCTGCTGCAGGCGCGCATACAGACGAAACGACAAAATCGTGTGTATGGCGTGCGTGGAATTTTTCGCTCATCTGGTCAATCAACGCGTCGCCCACGAACTGCTAGCGTTGCAGCTTTGCGAGCTGCTTCTACAGGAACCAACCAACGATTCAGTCGAAGTCTGCATTGGCTTTCTGAAGGTGGGTGTTTCTCTGAGCGGCAGCCTAAGAGGCATGTTCATATATTCATCTTTGTATGTGCATATACATATATATATAGATATATATATATATGCATATACATATAGATATACATATGGATATACATATACATATACACACATATAGATATATATATATATATATGCATGTGCTGTACAGCTACTCCTCTCCCCTGCTACATGTGTTTATTTCTTCTTGTGCTCTCCCCGGCGGGCATTTCTGGAAATCTTTTCGAGAGTGTCTGTCTGTGCGCCTTTCGCGTTTTCGCTGCATTACTTTCTCCAAACAAAGCTGCTTAAGAAGTGTGTTTGCTTGTACCTGCGTGTGGATGTGTGGCTGCTTCCTTGAGCGGGCACCCTATCCTCGCGCCGTGTCTCGACGACTCGCCTTTTCGCCTCGCTTGCTGCTTACCGCTTCAGACTGGCTTCGCTTGCTAGACTTGGAATTCCCACGTCTCGCCCTTAGTCCACTTGCGCACACGCCTCCTCCCTCCGTGTCATGCGTCTTTTTGCAACGCTGCGCGTGCGATTCAGGCTGTTGGTCAGGTGCTCGAGGACGTGTGCAAGCCAGGATTTGATGCGGCTTTTGAGCGCCTTCGAGCTATCCTCCAACAAGGCGAAACTGACAAGAAAACGCAGTACTCCATCGAGGCACTCTGGGATATCCGGAGAAATGGATTCAAAGATTTTCCAGGCGTACGAAGGACGAACACGACTCCCCCCCCTTTTCTCTCTGTCGTCCTCCCTTCTTAGTGCTTCACGCTGCACCCGTCTGTTTATCTCTCCAGCCAGCTGTGCAGCAACTCACAGCGAACGGACGGTTCAAATTAGTCAAGAAAAATTGTATCTTATGCCTTGCTTCTGTTGCATAGATAGGCGTTGTTGCATAGATAGGCGTTGTTGCATGGAGTTGCGCAGAGAGGCGCATTTGAATTGCAGTTTAGTGCATATATATATATATGCAAATCCTGTGTGTTTTTCCTAGGTTGTAGATGATTTAGATCTGGTTGAAGCAGAGGACAAGATTACGCATGAAGTTGACTTGCTTGATACCTCTATCAAGGGAGAGGAGATGCTCAATATTTTCAAGGCACAGGAACCGGATGTACGCAGCCTTAGCTATTTAGCTGTTGCGTTTAGTGTGGCGAAAAACGCCTTGCATTCTGCTGAATCATTCTTAAAAGGGCGCGCTGACTATGAGCTGACAGGGATGGCGGCTCCCGCCTGCCTCCTTGTTTTCGCGGACGGCGTCTCTTCCCTTCAAGGATTGTCTGTTGCCATCACTTCGTCGTCGTATGGCTGCTTTGGCTTCGTGTATAATTCGATCGACAGACGCTGCCTGTCCGTCCGACAAGCTCTGCTGTATTGCTGCCGACTGCAATGCGTTCTACGGTGTCACGCCTGCTGCAACTGCAGGAATATGAGGCAAATGAGAAGAAATGGAGTGCTCTTTCGAAGGAAATTCTTGGCGAAGTCTCAACAGGTGTGCTCGAGGATATTTCGGGCAGTGTGCAGGGTTGTCTGCGCAGCGACGTGTGGAGGCATGGAGAGCAGCCGCTAAGGCTGGTTGTTGCCTCTCTGCTCGAGGATACTTAGCACGCCTTGCGTGGGAGGCGTGTCTCATGCAAACTGCACGTGTGTATATGTGTATCTGTGGATGTATGTATATCTGTATGTTATATGTGTATATCTGCATATTATATGTGTATATCTGTGTATTATATGTGTGTATCTGTGTATTATATGTGTGTATGTGCTGATGTTCAGGCTCTGAAGCATCCTCGGAGGATTCTGAGGAGGAGGCGTCAAGTGAAGAGGAGGAGGAGGAGAAGGAGGTGTGTAGGGGCGTTTTTTAGCGGCTTGGGGGAAGGGGAGGGGACATGGTTTCTAGCATGGTGCTGGTATGTTTCTCTGTAGTGTCTGTATAGGATCTATGGAGGGGGTGTGACTGTGTCGTTGGGGTTGGCGTGCAGGAGGCAGGCGCGAAGAAGCAGATTCAAATTAAGGATATGACAGATCAAGACATTGTAAATTTGCGCAAGACGATCTATTTGTGCATCATGTCGTCGCTCAATGCCGAAGAGTGTGTTCATAAGATTTTAAAGATGAACATCCAGGTATGTAGGCTGACGTCGAGCTTCTTCTCTGGTGGAGAGGATGCTGCGGTGTGTGTTGCTCGGGGATGAGGGGTGGTTGTCTGCATGCCTGCGAGCATGCTATTAGGGAGGGAGGAGAGAGGGGAGGGGGGTTGTTGCGGTTGCTTCTGCATATGAAATCGTTTTGAGCACTCCCGCAAAGGTGTGCGTCTGTCTATGTTGCTTCCCTGGCCTGCCTGTGGCGTCATAGGGGGTGTTGCGTCTTATCGAGGGAGATGAAAGGGGATAGAAAGCAGGGAGAAGATGGAAGGGGATAGAAAGAAGGGAGAAGATGAAAGGGGATAGAAAGAAGGGGGGAGATGAAAGGGGATAGAAAGCAGGGAGAAGATGAAAGGGGGTAGAAAGCAGGGAGAAGATGAAAGGGGATAGAAAGCAGGGAGAAGATGAAAGGGGATAGAAAGCAGGGAGAAGATGAAAGGGGATAGAAAGAAGGGGGGAGATGAACGGGGATAGAAAGCAGGGAGACGATGGAAGGGGATAGAAAGAAGGGGAGGAAGGACGCGCGGTGTTGCAAGTGCCTCGTGTCATGCCTTTCATCTCGCTTCTTATGAGCGTTTTTTGCGTTTCTTCTTGTCCTCAATTGCTGGCTGCTTAGGAGGATTTAGAGATGGAGGTGGCAGTGATGCTCATCGACTGCTGTGCTATGGAGAGGACTTTCCAGAGATTTTTTGCGTTGCAAGCTGAGCGACTGGCCAAATTAAAAGCAGCGTACTGCGAGTGCTTTCAGGAAGCGTTCAAACGGCAATACGCGCTGGTGTGTGCAGATTCGACGTTTCGCGTACCCTTGCATGCAGCTCCGCTTTCCCAAGTTTTTCAGCCGTGTTTTTGCATGCTGTGCTGCTGCTGGTGGCTGCCGGCCTTTATGGGGAGTGGGCTGTGCGCACTTTTTTCACGGGGTGCTCTCGAAACGCGCTGCGCGACAATACGTGGGTGTGAGATTAAACGACGATAGACAGGAGTAGAACCAAGCGAATCCGTCGAGGGGTCAAGTTGTGTTTTTCGTCCCCCATGCTGCTGATGCTTTCCTCGTGCATGCATTCTTCGGTTTCTCCTCTATGCATTGGTTTGCGTCAGTATCACGCCTTCATGCTGCACAGGACGCCTTGAATCGCTCTCTCTATGACCCCCTGGTAGGGATGCTAGACGTAGGCATGTGTGCATGCACTTAACGTGTATTTTGTGCAAACACCTTTCTTCTTTGGCAAGAGCAACCTACTTTCTTTCACAGGCTCACCGCCTCGAAACAGCCAAACTTCGAAATACTGCAAAGTTCTTTGCGCACTTACTGACCTCAGGCAAGCCTACACCCTTTCCATGCATCCTTTTCCTGCTGATTTCTCTTCCTCTTCCCCTGCATCTCCCTCTTTGAAATACCTTCAAGCACTCCCTCGCCGCATGAAGCTCTCTCTCTCTCTGTCTCAAGTTCTCCATCTGTCTCAAGCTCTCTCGCTCTCTCTGCCTCTCTCTGTATTTTTAGATGTATGTACACGTTTCTACATCTATTTTTCGCTGCTGTTGCACCTTTCCTCGACTTGTCTGTGCGGTCTATCCCACTGTTTTGTAGAAAAAGCCTTGCCGCATGCATCCTGTTGTGTGTGAGAGGAAGGTGTGCTGTATGCGTTGCCGACGTATTTTTTTCATTACGCACGGGCGAGTGTGTTGTTGCGGAAGTGCCGCTTGTTTATGGAGCTGCATTTGAAATGTTCAAAACGATTTCCTGCTGTCTCCGGGTCGATTTCAAGCGTGGTGGTCCTCCAAGTGTTACTCTGGAGGGTTGTCTTGCATTTTCATCATTCCATCTCCGAAGCATCAAATGCGCAGCATTCTTGTGTCTTGTCACAAGGGGGTTGCGCTCTTGCGTAGCACTGCGCTTCCAGAGGCGTCGTGCCTGTTGCGCGCTGTACAGTACATGCCGTGGCTGTGATACTTTTCTGAGATTCGTCTTATCGCGTATGCACGTTTTTATTCATGGATCGGGAAGAGGGGGCGGAACGCATGGAGGCTTCTTTCCTTCTCAGACGCAGTACCCTGGAGTGTGCTGGAAGTATTCGAGCTGACGGAGGAGGCAACCACATCGTCTGGCCGTATCTTCTTGAAGGTTTTGCTGCAAGATATGAGCGAGACTCTTGGCATCCGAACGCTAAACGATCGCCTGATGCACCCAGATATGAAAGCATACATCAAGGTGACGCAAACGCAAACTGAGAGAGGGGAAAGTTGCGTCCAACGCCCTCCCTCCATCGGCCTTGGTGTCTTCTGCTTCCAACTTTTCTGTCGCCGAGCAGTGCAATCCCCCGTTCGTAGACTGGGAAGCGATGTATAAGAAGAGCATCGAGACTGCACTTTCCTGCTTGTTACAAAGCGCTGTCTCGCCTTGTGCCAGCCGCCATTCGGCCGTGTACCCCTCCTCAGATGCTGAGTTGGACTTGAAGGCATGCGCACTGCACTGCACTGCACTGTAGGGAAGAAGAATAAGGCCAGGGTTGCTTGGGGCTTTGCTTTTTGCATGCGCTGCAGGGCCTCTTCCCTCAGGATCATCCACGCAATGTGCGCTTCTGCATCAACTTCTTTACGGCTATTGGGTTGGGTGGGCTCACCGATCACCAGCGTCAGCTGCTTGCAGAAATGCAGCACCAGGCGCACTTGCAGCAGCAGCAACAACAGCTGGCGAACTCTTCCTCGTCCTCCTCCTCATCGTCCAGCAGCTCTAGCAGTTCTAGCAGTTCTAGCAGCGATACAGACTCTAGCGGGAGCAGCTCAGACAGCGACTGATGGCTGCGGCTTTCCATGCGTCCACTCCCCCCTCCCCCATTCTATCCGTGTTCTCTAGTGATGTGAGGGTTAATAGTGTGTGGAAAAACCCCCCGGAGGACTGTGCCTCGCCTGTAGCTAGCCGTGTGGACGGGGGGGGCCCTAGACTACGCTTCCCTCTTGGCTTCAAGGGGATTTTTGCCGCGACTTTTGCTGCAGCTGCTGTGGGGGCACCTAGGCAAGGAGCGAGCTCAGCAGCTGCTTTAGCTGCACGACTGGCTGCAGTGGGGTAGGTTGGGCGTGTAAGGTGTTGCCTCGACGCGCGCGCGAGGGGACGGCTGCATCACATGCCTGCTGCTGCCTTTTGACTGGGTTTTGGCAGTGGCTTTTGCTTCGCGCGTAGGCTAGTCTGGGTGTGCTTGGAGCGACCCTAATCGCCATGAAGTGTGGCGTTCGATTGCGCTTTCTAGCTCCTTGGTCAGCTTGGCCGTCACAGTTCTACGTAGTTTAATCAGAGGGCCATAGATTCCGATCAGCTGCCTCTCGGCAGCGCCAGCCGCTTCTCAGTGCTCCTAAGACATCTGCCGCACCAAAGGAGGTGACGTCGCTGACGCAGCACCTTAAGATGCAGGGAGGGCTGCAACGCCTAAGCACTCTGCCGTACGGGAGGCCTCGTATTGGGCTGCGCGCCTTCTACTGCCGCGTTGCAGTCACTTTTTCACGAAACAGCGCGCTGCAGCGGTTCCAGATGCTCGCGCTGGCCTACTGTGGGTAGGCGAGCTCTTAGCAAACCGTTCTCATTAGACGCACATACGCGGGGGAAGTCGGGTGGCACCTCGACGGCTTTCTCGCGGCATGCAGAGCGCCTCTGTCTGCTACCGTCTCCTCGCGTCTTTTTCGCTTTTGACTTGAGGCACTCGAGGGAAGACTGCTGGGCAGCGCTAAAAAAGAAAGCGCACGCAGACTGCGTATGGAGACACTGAAGCACACGGGCAAAGACGTGGCGCGGCCCTGCAGGTGTGTGCGCAGCTGTACATACACGCTGCTCTGCGGCGATTTCTCGCTACACGCGGCTCACCACAGATGAAGATCTGCGGCAGCCACTTTTTCTTGGCGTTTAAGCAGCACCAACGCCTCGAGCTTTCCATCGCTGGGCCGTCTTCCAGCCACGCCAGCGTTTGGCTGGCCAGCTAGCTGCTCTGCCAGTGCAGCGCGACTCGGCGCCTCTTGCATGCGGTGTTTAGCTGCATCAAACGCTGGACCTCATCCTACGTGTGTTGGGGGGGACTGCCCAGTTGTGCGCCTCTTCTGCTCACTCAAAGGAAAACCTTTCGCATGCAAAATCCCTCACTAGCCTGAAAGGTCGATGACACGTATTTTCTCGGTGCCAGCAACGCGCTCACTTATTGTTACCTCGCCTTCTTGTGCCCCTATCCAGCCGCAGAGGCCCTCCTTGCGGGGTTTGCTGAGATGCATCTTTCGAGCAGCCTTATACACCTTCGCGAGAAGCAGCACGCGCACACGTCCTACTAGGGCGGAGCTGGTTGCACCTGGGAGATGTGCAACAAGAGGACAGACGAGCAACCAGACCCTGAAGTCAAAGGAGCTTCAGGAGCGCTGATTTAGGGAGCAGTGCGTGCAGGAGCAACTGCCTCACGGCGTTTCGGCTGCTCTCTCTCTGCTCACAAAAGTAGCTATTTTCTTTGTTTCTCCGTACATGCCAACGGCGTGTTTCGGCAACAAGCAGATTTTCCAGTCGCTCCTCGATAGAACCATCCCTTGATGTGGACGTGAACGGCCGCTCTTAGAGAAGCGTAAGCCTACGCACGGGCGGACGGGGGGTAATAATGGGGCGCATCTTCCTGCTTTTACGCAACCCACAACACTGTTGAGGCCAGCAGCTCTCCATTCTCAAGCTTTGCTGGTAAGCCTTCATGCGTGCGCGTAGCGAGACTTGCCTTCAGCTCCCGCTTTGTTTTTGTGTATCTGCTGCTGGGCCTGCGCATGGCGCTCTCTGTCCCTTGCTCAGCGCAGGGAGCACCACTTTTCTCTCCAAGCAGTTTGTACCTCTATTCAAAGAGGAGAGCAAGCATCTGGCGATACATAGTGTATGTACGTTTTTGGGCTCTGCATTCATGTATGTACACGTATACGTAAATGGGTTGGTGTATTTTTGAAGATGTATATATATATATACATATATATATATGTATATATATATGTATGTATATTTTTGTATGTATATGTAATTATGTACATGTATTTACATGTACATATCCGCTTTTTAAGTGCATTAGACGCATAACCATCGCAAGATAAGGAGCCCCTTCGGGTAGGATGTCTACTTCAGGCCACGCATCCAGCGAATCCTAATCTATGAGCGGTTGCTTAGCAACGCGGTAGATCTTTCATTTAGCGTTTTTCGCTTCACCTCCCTCCTTCCCCACCAATGCATTTAATCAGGCGCTCGGAAGAGGCAGCACGAGGTGGCACCCCGGAAGGCGCACAAGGACAAGCCTGCGCCATGCGTTCTCCACGCATTGCCCCCATAGGAGAACGCACCCTACAGAGGGAAACGGCAAGCTACCAGCACAACCACCCCTGGGAGGCTTTGGCAACATGGCACTCATGACGAGAGGCTTTCTGAGTAAAGTACACCTTCAGGGTTCCCTAGGTAGCCTCGGTTATAGAGCTACAGCAAAAGTACGCAGCCACTGCCTGGTGGCAAGAGAACTGTTCGTCCCTATGGGCTCAGCGCTTGTCGAATTAACCCCTCTTTCCCATTAAGCCCGATTAAGTGAACGTGAGCCTTGCTTTAGCACCTCGTGCGGCTAAGGCCGAAATCGCGAGGACGTTGTTCTTCCCTTTCCGTGTGTCTCTCTGGAGCGTTTTTTTGAATCGGACTAATGTGTGCGAGGATGCACTTTGCGCGCTTTTTCTGGCGTGAACTGGCATGCATACATGCATGCAAGACCCCTCACGGACTGCAGAGGGGTGCCTGCGTTTGCGGCTTCTTGCGGGGGAGGACACTCTCTCCCGTCTCCGGGTGTATGTACAGCATGTCATGCTCCGTTTTGGTGCTGATGTCGCAGAAATCCAACACGTGCAGCGATCCGTCAGGATCTACCGCCACTGTTTTCCAGTCCAAAAGCGCCCACGCATCGCCTCTAGATCTCAGAGTGAAGCAGCTCAGGGGAGGGCACCAGCTCTTCGCCAAGAGGCTGCTGCTGTCAGGTGTAACGACGCCCCCACTACGCTCACAGCTGCCCGCCCGCAAACCTTGTGCTTCCGTCTGCTGCGTGAAAGCGCGAGGGAGGACGTCGTATACATCCCTGCAAGGCAGAAATCCACACTGAGCGGGCAAGGCGCATGTGTGCTTACATATTTTTCAGCACACACGCTTAGCTAAAAGATGCATATTTGCACTTCGCAGTCAAAGGGTAGGCGCTGCGTCCACCCTCTATCCCGCATCCTCTCTTCCGTCCTCTCTTCCAGCCACAACTTTTTCTAATATCCTAGCGTGTGTTCACTCTTGCCACCATCCCCAACACACCCTTTTCTCTCACTCCCTCTCTCAAACAGCTCAAGTCTATGCTTGAAGACCCCTCCCTCATCCTTTGCAACAATCCGCAGCAGCCTCTCCAGCCATCCCGCCTTGCCTCCGCTCCCTTCCCCCCTCCCCCCCTCCCCCCCTCCCCCTTCCCCTCCCTTCTGCTTTAGCGACCACGTATTTTGATGCTCCCTTGATGCAGCTAAAAAAGCCTGCACGTCGGTGGAAGCGAGCATCCGCAGACGCATGTGCTGGGCGCAGCTCGTGATGTGATCTTTTCCGTTTTTGTACGTGCAGCTGCCTTCCACCACAGCAGCCCCCTCACGATTTGACACGCGAGGAAACACACGCGCACAAGGCAGGGGGAAAGTAAAAAAACGGATGAAGGAGATTTTACTGCTACTGCTTGCAGCTTACCAGTCCGCAACCAAGTGCGACCCCACCACGGAGGAGGCTTCTGCAGCCTCGAGTTGCTCCAACAGCTGAAGCTGCTGCTGCTGTCGCTGCTGCTGTTGGTATTGCTGCTGTCGCTGTTGCAAGCCGAGCTGCAGGCGCTGAAAATAAAAGTCTCCTCCCCACTGCAGAGGCCCTTCCAATGCATGCATCTCGCCACTTCTCTGTTCATGCTGCTCCTGCTGTCGTTCTTGCTGCTCCTGCTGTCGTTCTTGCTGCTCCTGCTGTCGCTCTTGCTGCTCCTGCTGTCGTTCTTGCTGCTCCTGCTGTCGTTCTTGCTGCTCCTGCTGTCGTTCTTGCTGCTCCTGCTGCCGTTCTTGCTGCTCCTGCTGCCGTTCTTGCTGCTCCTGCTGCCGTTCTCTCTCCCGCACATGGAGCGCGTAGTTCTGCTGCCTGAGAAAGAGCTGTCTGAGCTGTTGCTGCTCCTGAGGGGCTCTCCAGACAGCCAGCAGCTGATTGTCTAACACATCGCAGAAGTAGACGGAAGGCGGAAAGTAGAAGAAAGTGCTTGGCTGTACGGTGACGTGGAGGGGTTGCTCGCGCGTCAGCTCGTGCATCTGATGACGCAGCGGAATGCTCTGGAGAGCCTCGTGGTGGCAAGCCTTGTTGCGAGGCTTCCCCGCGGAGAGATCCATGTCGAAGGGTTGTTGGCTTACCCCCTCCTCGCACGCGTCCAGGGGAGGAGGCTCCAGCAGCGGCTTCCTCATGACGGATGAAGCCTCGTCGCCAGGCACCTGCTGCTGCTGCTCCTGCTGCTCGTGCTGCCTGGCACACCCGCAGCAGCAGCTCTTCAAAAATCTATGCGGCACTGCTGGCTCAGGATCTAACGGATCTAGAGCCAGAGGAGAGCAGCAGCAGTCGCAGCAGGCTTCTGCCTCTGCAACAAGGCGCTTGTCGAGACACCCAGCTTCTTCTGCTGCTGCCCCTTCTGCTGCTGCTATCGCAGGCTGATGGACGGAGGAAGTAGGGAACGACGTTGCTGCTAAGCACGCTCTCCTCCGTGTATATCCTGCCTGCTGCCGAAAGAAGCAGCATAAGACACTTTTCGAACTCGCATGGCGCTTGCGCTTGCTACTCGTGCTGCTCTTGCTCCTGCCACGTTTCCTGCTGGTCAGACGACGAACGATGCTGCTGCTGCTGCTGCTGCTGCTGCTGCTGCTGCTGCTGCTGCTGCCCCGCGCGAGGGGAGATTCGGCTGTACGCGCACCGGGGAGCCAAGGGCAGCAGCAGCAGCAAGAATTGAATACTTGCTGGGATTTTGCAGAATCTCCTTTGCTGCTTCTGCAGAGACGGCTGCCGCAACGCAAGCTCGTCTGCTGGATGATGCCTCTCGATGTTGCAGCACCGCTGCGCTGCTCTGCCAATTCCTCCTCTGCTTCACATAGACAGCAGTGTCTTGCGTAGACGCTGCAGCAGGCACTGCTGCAGCTGGCACTGCTGCAGCTGGCTTGCTCCGAGTTTTTTTTCCAGCAGAAGTCGCTCGGAGAGCAGGGGGCAGTCTGCTGGGGTTGAAGCCCCTTGCGGGGAGTTCGATCCAGCAAATGCATCTGCTGCTGCTGCTGTTGCTGCTGCTGTTGCTGCTGCTGCTGCGCTATCTGCTGCTGCGGCTGCTGCGCTATCTGCTGGTGCTCCGTCTCTCCATGCTGCAGCCACAGCCTCTTCAGTTTTTGTTGCAACGTTGCGTAGGCAGCCTGATGCAGCTGCAGAAAAACAAAGGCGGGAATGTGTGTGCCATGCCCTCAAGCCTGCCTTCCAACCTTGCGCTCTTTTACGCAAATTCTCATATGTTAAATGCGCAAGACACCCATTTGTAGACAGCAACAAAAATCCCTTTCTCCATACGCCAAGAGCACTGCACACACGCAGAATTTCGGGTATAAAGCTCTGCATGTTACCTGATCTAAAGACCAGATCTTGATAACACTCAAGACACTGGCGTTTTGCAGCAATCTCAAATCACCATGTTGCTGCAAGCGGCGCAGAATGTCAAAGGCTTGAATCTGCTGCCGCTGCTCTTGTTGCTGCTGCTCTTGTTGCTGCTGCTCTTGTTGCTGCTGCTCTTGTTGTTGTTCGTGCTCCTGTTGTTGCTGCTGCTCTTGCCGTCCCCGAGGCGCTGGCTGCGATCCGCCGTTCGCTATCAAATAAGGCGAACTGTGCATGGAGCTGCGAAGGATTCTTACGCTGGCGTTGCTGTGTCTGTTTGCCCCTTCGTCCTCCTGCCGCTGCCGCGCAGAAGGCGTAGAAGTAAGGATGCTTCCGAAAATCCTTAGCGCTGCGGCAGCACGCGCATTGCCTGCCGAGACAAGGGGCTGCTCTTGTTGTTGCTGCTCTTGTTGCTGCTGCTCTTGGTGCTGCTGCTGCATGCGCTGGTGCAGCAGCAGCAGGTGATCAACGCGCATCTGCTGGAGCACAATCAAATGATGCGCTGAAAAGCTGTGTCGAGTTATCGGACCTGAACCTGTTCCGCAGTTGAGAGTGCAGACGCATGCAAAGTTGCTGCAGCTATCATAGAGTGTCAGAATTCCTTCGCCGTCTAGCGCAGCCAGCAGATAATGCTGCTGGTGCTGCTCCGTCTGATCTCCCCGCTCGTGTTGCTGTCGAAAAGAAGACTGCAGTCGCATGCTCCGAGGATGCGGCAGCTGGCGAAGGCGGAGGAAAGACGATCCAGAGGCAGGCGCCAAGATGCAGTGGCAAAGAGAACCTGCAGCATCACACAGAGGCTGCAGCATCAGCAGCATCGATTCTTAGAAGCGCAGCATGCGTGCATGCTCACGACACCAACGGGAGTGCGCATCGCACTGCTGTCAAGGGTGTCTCCTCCCCTCCTTCTTCCCCCTCCCCGCTCTCCCCCCATGTATCCCCTCAGATACAGCACTGAAAGCATTTGCAGCAGCGAAAGCTCTCTATAATCCACAACATTGGCTACAGCCTGGCGGCAGGCGTGCGCGCGCTGAGACAGCCACAGCAGCTCTGGAGCAGCAGTATTAACAGTAGCAGTAGGAGCAGTATGAGCAGAAGCAGTATGAGCAGAAGCAGTATGAGCAGTATTAGCAGTAGCAGTAGCAGCAGTATTTGCAGTATTAGCAGCAGTATTAACAGTAGCAGTAGGAGCAGCAGCAGCAGTAGCAGCAGCAGCAGCAGCAGCAGCAGCAGCAGTATTAGCACCACTAGAAGGAGCATCACTACCACTACCATCAATCTCCTACCATCAGCAACCCCCCATATTTTGATGGTGTTGCACTTGCGTCGGAACCATGTGACGAGGTGTCTGCTGTAGCGAATTTCCTGCTGCTGCCGCTGTACTGCAGCAGCAAAAAAGCCATCCTTCTTAAGACCACAGCAAAAAGGAGCTGCCATTGGCTCCTGCTCCTGCTGCTGCTGCTGCTGCTGCTGCTGCTGTTGCTGCTTTGTTGCGTCTTGCTCTGCCAGACGGGCTAAGCGCGCAGAAATTTCGGCTCCTGTGCTGCCGCCTTCGCTGCTGAGGGTGTTTCTGAGAGTCACGTTACGGCGAGAAGGGCATGGATTTGCGTATCCTGCCCAGAGGAAGTCTAGATCTTGCGCAGATTCTTCTGTCGCTGCGCCTTCTAGAGTCGCATGTTGCTGGATTTGCTGTCGGTTGAACGTCGCAGCGACGCAAGGCCCTTGTGTGTGCAGCACGGTGTATAGACAGCGCAGCGAGTGGGAGTCGAAGACGTAGAGGGCGCTGCCAGCAATGACGGTGAGCTGAAGATTTCTCAGAGAGACGTCTAAGGGGAAGTCTTGGTGTTTAGCCGCAACTGCCGCAGGGGGCAAGACAGCAGCCGCCGCTAGTTCACCGTTCTTGAGATCGAATCCACGCAAAATGCCGTGTCTCAAGAAGACAGCTCTTGTAGCTGTGGCAACAAGGCAGGCTCTAGGATCGTCTTCTACTTCACTGCTGCTGCTGCTGCTTGCATTGCTGCTGCTTCTTCCGCTATCACCGACATTGCATCCAGGATGCAGCAAGTGCGATACGGAGGTGTTGGCTTCTACACACCACATCTTCTTTTGCCGCTCCAGATGCACCAACTGTATGGTCACGCCGTCTTCCCAGAGGAAGCAGCAGCAACAGCAGCACAGAGCCAAGCTGCGAACGCGTGCGCGAGGCATCGCTGGCTGCAAGAGTTTCTTGTAGAATGTGTGCTGATACTTCGCCTGCATGCACGACAGCCGCAGAAGCAGCAACAGCAGCAGCAGCAGCATGTGCTGCTGCTGTTGCAGTTGCAGAGACGTAACGACTCTGCAGAAAGACGCGCATGCGCGCGCCAGTGTGAACTTCGAGGAGGCGAAGGCTTATCGGTAGAGAAGACTTTGCGCAGACGGCACTTAGACACTTTCAGTGTCACTACATGAGGCCGAAAGGAGGCGCAGAGAAGGTGTAAAGAAAGGAGAAAACGGGGAGTCAGAAAGAGAGAGCGGAAAAAGGAAGAAAGAAAGGCGGGAAGGGGGGGGTGGTGTGTTGTTGTTGCTACAAGTGTGAATGCGTGGCTGCAGCGAAGGCGAGTCTTTTGCCCCCTGGGCATGGCGCTGCACGTGGCCAGGTGTAGATACACCGCAAACCTGCCAAAAAGAGCTGCTGCCGAATACTGCCGTTGGTTGACTTGCCTGCTTGATGTTGCGAACGAATGTAGCGGCTTTTGCAAGGGCAAGCCTCCAGCTCCAACCCTGGCGATATTTGAAGTAATTCTCATACTTCACGCCATACTGCTGCAGCAGCAGCCTTCGCCACTGCTGCTGCTGCTGCAGTCCAAGCAGCACAAACCAGCGACGACAAACTAGGCAGCAGCTGCACAGATCCTTTACGCCAAAGAACTGCGCCGCCAGCAACAGCGCATGCTCGGGAAGACTGCTGCTGCTGCGCCTTGCAGCAGGGGTGTGCGTGTCGCTTTGTTTTCTGCTGTCTGTGACGGCGCCAAAGCTGCATGCACCTGCAGACTCCGCATGCATGCGGCTGCCGCTGTACAAAGCAAGGCTCTGGCTGCTGCCACTCTTCCTTCTCCTCCTTCTTCTGCTGCTGCTGCTGCTGCCTAGCGGCCTTTCCTTGCAGATGCATGTTGCGTTGCTGCTCTGCATGTTCGAAGCCTCTCTGACGCCGCTGTAGAACAAGCTACCACTATCCCTTCGTGCATCGCCCTTTGAGACACAGCCTTCTTCGCGGAATTCCTTGTGAAGACACCAGCAAGCGGTGTTGCTGCCGCCGCTGCTGCTGCTGCTGCTGCTGCAAGCTATGGACCCTGACAGCCTCCCTGTTGTCATGTTGTTACTGCATGATGAGCGACAGCAGCAGCAGCAAGTGCTCATAGCCATAGAGCGCTGCTGCATTGGCTTTTCAGCATAGAATAAAGCATTGCGGATTGCAGCCTTCCCCGCTTCTACTGCTGCTGTTGCTCCAGGGCGGTACTGGCGAATTTTTCACAGTAAGTAATGTGTGCAATGCGTCTCGCGCTGTCTTGCTATTTCTCTCTTTCTCTGTGCTTTCCAGCAACGCTGCACCTGTCCCCTCTCTTTGGAAGGTTCTGGTTGTCTGGTGCTTTACCACTCGCCGCGTTCGTCAGATTAATGCTGCTCTTTCTGTTGCTGCTCTTTCTGCTGCTGCTGCCTTCTCACTGGCTGCAGCAGCTCTCCCGTTTGGCAGCGCTAACCGCAGCATCGCCAAGAGGGCAAGCGGCTGCTGTGGGCTGCGGAGTTGTTGCAGCTGTTGTTGAGCGTCAGCTCTTCCTCCTGCGTATATTGGAGCCGCACAAATGCTAACATGTAGGGGCTGCTGCAGCAAGTGTGGCCGCAGCGGGATGAAGAGAGTTCTGGCAGAGCAGTGACGGTGGTTTGTACTCATGCAGCTGTGCTGCTAGTGAGGCAGCAGCATGCCCGCTGCAGCTGTAGAGGTTGAGAGTGGTGCTCCGGAAAAAATTCTGAAATGAGTCTGTCTGCAGCGTGTATGCTTTGCGAATCAGGCAAATAGGCCAGACTTCCACGCGGAGCTGCGGAAAGTGCTGCGGCGGCTTTGAGCCAGTGTACAGATACCACTACTCTAAGAGACAGAGAATCGGAAGCACCTTTTGTGCGATCCTCTCCGTGTCACGGCTGCACTCAATGCAACTCATAATACACGTTTCTGCACTTGCTGCTGCTGCACCTGCTGCTGCTGTACGTCCAACGGAAGTTTTCTGCCCGCAGCCGAAAAGTCGTGCTGTTGCTGCTGCGGAAGTTTGCTGCTTCAGGGGGGAGTCGGATGAGACTTCCTGGCCTCAAACCAGAGCTAAAAAGCTTATTTCGCATATTTCCCTTCCCGAACACGGGTTGGCTGGATCGTCAGACGCCGCGCTAGCAGCTAATGACACAAGGGGCGAGACAGAGGCGGCGGCAGTAGCAGCAGCACGTGCATCCTCTTCGCACTGTCATCGAACAGCAATCGCTCTTGTGCATAGTAGAAACTTTTAATTTCGTATTTCTTTCTGATCTTGCTGCTACTCTAGCGATGACGGCTGATGCTGCATCGGGCGGTGCTGCCGAAAAAACTCTTGTTTGCACGAGTGTCTCGTGCGTGTAGCGCCTGCCGCAGACCCTAACGCCACCTGACGAGCTTTGTATTCGTGCTTATTTGTTTCTTCAGCTCCTGAGAATTCGCTAGTCATGCTCCCTGATGACTCCTGCACACTGAGTTGTATGCGCACATATGTTTCCTGAGAATCGCTTAGTTACTTCCTTATTGCGTCTCGCGGTGCCGGAAGGGTTGCAAACGGCGCGTATCCCACTCCACTCAATGTAAAAACAATGCGAACCCGCAGTACGGAGTCGCTAGCTGTCGATCCTTCTGAATACAAGTTGATATGACTAGCTCACTCTTTTGAGCAGTGGCTTGACCAGAGGCATGCTGTAAAGAAGCAACATTACTGTCTCGCCTCCTCCTGCTGCCCAGCTGAAGGTTTGTTCTGACCACCAATACATCAAAAACTGAACGCCAACAAGCTTTTAAGCTGATAGGGCCCTCATCCCGTAAGAAAGCTTCTGCAGACACCTCAGCGTCCATATTATGTGTTCCCAAGAATTCTACGCGACTAGAATTGTAGCGCTACAGCTGGTGCCTCCTCATAAAGACATCTGCATGCAACCTCAATATACAATGCCTGTTGAAAGCCACTGAGTATTTTCAAAAGGTCTCCCGCCTCTCCCTGTCCTGGCCCCTCACCTGTTCCCACATGAGGGGAGTGCAGGAGAGGACTGTAACGCTTTACTGAAGCTTTCCTCAAAGAGCGCCTTACTTCAGACTTCATACAAACCTAGTTGGAGGCAAAGTGCCTTCCAAACGAACCCCCGCTCTCTCCCCTCCGCCTCTCTAAGAGGTCAGACACGAGGAACAAGTACCGTAGGGTGTGCATAGCTGCGCCCTCTGAGCTAAGCTCCACTTCTTTGATTACACTGGCGACATTCGGCCTTTAGCAGCATCCTAGAGTTTTGCTCTGGATGCGCGTTACCTTGTTTATTGCAGCGCAGCGTCGTCTTGCTGGCAAAGCAAGACACAACGGCCGTGTGTATCCCGTGCGCTGAATAAACACCCTATCGAACTAGCCGTGATTGCTCGGAAAAGGCCTAGACAGCGTGCAACCGCGCGAATTTTTCTCCTTCCATGTCGGGAGCCTTGAGGCTGCAGGCAGGGTAAGGAGTGACACGATCGTTTTTTGAGAAACCCTTCAACCGTTCTGTTGCAAGCTGACACGGAGCTTAGAGCAAAAGCATGCGTGGCCTCTTAGAGACCCTTACTCGTCAGACGTAAACTTCGTGCATGGAAGCGCTCAAAGCACAAGGCTAACCCATGGCGGTACAGTGCACCCTGCTCCCTAGATACATGCAGGGTAGGCGTACTGCCCAACCGTCACGTGGATCGAGCTTTTCTTATCAGCGGTCAAGGGAGAAAGCTCCTTTCAAGAAGCGCATTGTACGACTAGCAGCACATTTCCGCCCCACGACGCACACGAAATGTTTAGACCAAGGGGCCGACAAGCAGGGGCCTCAATAATTGCCCCTAGCGGCTGCTGCAAGAGAAGCTAAACATGCCTCACTTGGCTCACCAACTAGAACTACGTCTAGCTAGTCTTGGTGAGGCGTGCCGCACAGCCACACACGTTCACCGGAGATATATACGCCTCTCTGGGCGCTGAAGGAATCAAAAAACGCCACTAAGGGCATGCAGACGTACAGCATCAGCAACTCCCTAGGAACAACTCTGCGTGTTTCGCTACGAAGGATACACTTGGCAGTTGCAGCCTGGCGTGTGCTGCGCTAGCCGCTAGCTACTCGTTTACTCGAACTGTTCGGCTCAGCACATCTGCGCGAGATTTTAATAAATCTGCAAAGGGAAAGCGGAGAGAGGGAGAGAGAGACAAGGCCAGAACCAAGAGAGACATGCACCGAGAAACGACTGCAAGAGGGCAGAGGTGGGGGCGAAGGGTCGATCCGGAGGCGAGCAAGCAACAAGCCGTCAGAAAAACGCCGCAGCTTAGAGCATCCAATTCCATCCTCCCTAGGGGGTAATTGCTGTGTCTTTCCTGCTCCTGATAACATGCTGATGGAGACACTATTACGCGGTGTAGGGGATGCAGCGCTCGGTGCAGAGGACCACGCAGGCGAATTTCCTACGCGTCAAACACTCACCCTACTGACCTAGGCTTGGCAGGTGTCTCTGCAAGTTGCGGAATTTATCTTTGAGCTGAACGTTGCTGAAGTGCCGTAATTCTGCATGCTCCTAGAACGCAGTAAAAACATGCAAAGAAAGACCCCTCTGACCTGGTGTATCCATTATTAGCCAGTGTGCACAACCCGAAGCGCGAAGCCAAATCGCAGCTAGCTAGCTAGCTAGCTAGCTAGCTGACGGAACCGCACACAGACGCTGCTACTGCCCTAGACAGTCGTTTTTGGTGCTTAACTGATGTTGAACGACCCCCAATCAAGTCCAAGAGCTTGCGGCAGCTCCCCGCAAGGCAGCGGCTGCTTGACTGCTGCTGCGTACCTGCTGTATTTCCTTCCAGTTGCCTTTTCCGAATCGTTTCACGCCGTCCAACAACAAGGACTCCTACGATGGGCATACACAAGCACACTCCGGCACATGCGCAACAAAGCCGCCTAAGCGCCCAGTCCCCTCAACCAGCCTGCAAAAAAATCCTCAACGCCATCCAGCTGAACAGCCCAGCTCGATGCTCTTCAACAACGGCCTTCGCGCGCCGCCGCTCACCTGCTTCCGCGTCCAATAGCGAAAACGGCGATCTGGCACAGTAGACTTGGGGGGAGAAATCATTCCACACTGCTGCTGCAACTGCTGCGGAGGCTGTTCAGCAGAGAGCTCCTCAACAGGCCACCTGCGAAACGCATCATCACCAACCACAGACCCCCCCTGCCGCCACAAGATACAGATCATGCAGATATACACATATATATATGTATATGTATATGTATAGATGGATGTATATATATATATATATATGTGTATATGTATATATATATATATA